CCCTGTATCGTGGGTGAGCTCGAGGCCGCGCGATTGACGTGATGAGGATGGGGGACTGACTCGGCACCATGAAAACACTAAAAGCTGGGGAGAGCTCGGTCTCGAGTCAGGAACTAACCCCGGAAGCTAGCCCCCCTCAATAAAGGCGGGGGTGGAGCCCCTGGTGTGCGGGAAGTAATACTATTTTGGGAAGGTGTAAACTAAGGTTTGATTTCTTAAATTTATCCTACCCTAGACTCTCTCTTCCAGCTCTATCAAGTATAATAATAAGTTTATATAAGTCTAGGGAGGAGTATAGATAACTCCGTATTAAATCAAACTTATAGCCTTATTTATATAATAATATCTATAGAGTTTAGTTTGAAAAGAACTTACTAATAGGACTGCGGGCTGTATCAATAGCTCGATGAAGGAAGCGGGTTTAAATCTGACTGTATTGACCAAGCAGAGTTTTATCCAGGCCACTCTCGTAATCAGATCTTCTATAGCTGTCTAGCTTCTAAAAGCTCCCTGATGATATTTTCCTCATGTCCGAGGTAGATAGAAATATGCCCTCGGTCTTTATAGAAATATGTCTGAAGTTTTCCTTGGGGTAAGTGATTCGAGAGCCATTTCCCGTGAGCATTCGGCACCGTATTATCAATTTCACCTTGATAAAGCAATACTGGCACTTGTATCTCATCAAGTCCGAAGCCCCAAGGTGCTAACATTGCCATGTTATCATCGACCCAGCCGTCGCAATTGTTCCTTAAACCTTCTTGCATCGATTGAACAAGGTTGAGAGCCATTCCTGGGTTTTCGCGCATCGCATCCTGATCAGCCTCAGGAAAAGATTTTGACAAACCTTCTAGCATAGTAGACACATCTGTATTCACCATGCCGATTCGTGCAGGTCCAATGTGCTTTAGCAGCTCATCTTCCCCTTCAAGCGCGGCTTTGAATCCCCGGACGCCTATTTGCGAAAAGACTATCAGGTACAGCGAACGCAAACGTACGGGAGTATCACTCACTAGCTTCCTCCTTGCCTGCTAGCCAGTCTAGGCCCTCTGCATCATAAGGCGCGAAGGCAGCGATTGATAAAATGGCGACGCATCCTCGTAGTCGAGCTGCACAAGCTAGAGCGTCCGCACCTTTGGTGCAACATCAGCGATTGTACAAGTCACCGCCAAATATTGAAGTCAAGAGAAGGGTTAAGCATACCTCCTCCGCTCCAACCGCCAACACAACACTTCTCTACTTTCAGATGCGCAAGTAGAGCCTGGATGTCGGCTACGGTATCAACGACTCGTCTGCCCTCTTGTCTGGTTGATTCACCGTACCCGGGCTTCGAAAAGGTAATGATCTTAATTCCCAACATGTCAGAAGTAGCGGGGAGACATGGAGTTTGTAAGTAACAGCTAGGAGTGCCGTGAATCCAGACTAGTGGAAAGCCATGGTTTGGTCCGGAGACAAGGTACTCGAGATTGCGGCCATCTGGAAGAGTGAATAGCTGAGCCATCTGAGAAGTGATGATATAATAACAATGTAGGTGGAATGATATTTGATTTAAACGAGTATAGCTGATAATGAGGGTTAGCAGACCCCTTATATATTAAGCCGATTGCTCCTACCTCCCTTATTGAAATCCAGGGAGGTATTCTTACTAGGGTTTATAGTAATAAAGGTATATAGTGATTTTTCACATGCTGCTAAGCGCTAATCCCATTGTGATACCTTGCGTCAGGATGGATCAAGTATAGAACTTAACACTTACCCGGTGGTTGCAACTCACTCCTAGCAATTTATATAGCGAGTACCCGAGAGTGAAAGTAAATTGTTTTATATAGGAAATACCAAATACTCCCATTCTATCCCTCCATGGCCATTTCGGTTGTTAATAAAATAGCTTCCACTAAAATTAGACTTTCTTAGCTTTGGAACGCTCGTAGATAGGGCTCGGAGCGGGCAAGGTAGTGGACTTGTACGCGCCAGTACTCCCGGCAAACATAAGGCTTGCTAACCACTTATGAGGAATGAGCCCCACGATATAAGAGTCAATGAACCGAAATATCCAGTTGGACCACGACGCGAATCTCATAAAAGTGAGACCTTCACCCACAAGCCTTTTTGTACGCGCCAATCTGACCTCAGCGGTCTTAGTGAATACAGACTCAATTTGCTCCGCTGAGAGCTTCTGCATATTGTTGGCCTCGAGAGCATTGTAGAGCTGGTCTACAAACGCGGCTGTCGATTCAAGGGCCATGCAACCACCTTGACCTTGTATAGGTTGAAACTAGAAAAAATTAGTGTTCGGTACAAATTTCGGACCTGTGCACTTTATTTAAACCAGCACTCACCTTGGCAACAGCATCTCCCAGACATATTATACGCTTATAGTGCCATCTCTGGAAAGTATGTGTTGGCAAAGGAGTGATGACATGAGTCTTCCTGTTATTGAAGATGTCGTTGAATGTCGTCCCGTCTTTCACAAGGCGGTGCCCATCTTCGGCCAGCAACCGTTCCACATCCTTCTCCGTGTATCGCGGCAAATCCATGCCCGTATGCTTTTTTGGAGCTTTGAAGAAGTGAAACCAGTAGATGTCATCATTTTGTCCCATTACCAACCCCAACATGCGGTCGAAGGTATGCACCTGGTAAATTTGGCCTTCTTTGAGGTCATTTGTCCGGTTAGATAAGCCAAAGACACATCCATACTCCGTCTCGACGTCTGTTATCACAAAGTCAGCAGAGATATAAAGGACAAAGTATCTCAGGATAAAATGGCCATTGTTTACCTTGACCAACCTGCTTACTAAACGCCGTCGAGCCATCGTTCCATGCTGCCTTCCACATCTGTCCTCGGACATGGCTGTGTATTCCATCAGCACCAACCACAAGGTCGGCAGTAAAGGTACTCCCCTCTTGGGTAGAGATCTCCACGCCGTCCTTGGTGTGCTCTATGCTCTGTACTTTCTGACCCGTGAAAATCTTATCCTTAGATTTAATATGGTCATAGAAAACCTCGAGCACGATGCGACGCTCAGTAAAGGTCAGGTCGTAGCCATGTATTTCGCGAATAGGGTCGACGGCAAATGAGTACATAATTTTGCCCTCGGCATTCCGCATCTGCGCCGACCTGCAGGCGGTAGACCTCTTTTCCACATCTTCTAGGCAGCCAAGTTGATCAATAATCGCCATCCCATTTGGGGCCAAACCAATGGAAGCGCCCAGCTGAGGGGCAATCACATCATGGGCTTCAATGAGAACCCAGTCTATTCCTAGTATCTCTAGATGCAAGGCAGTAGCTAGGCCAGTATAACCTCCGCCAACAATGGCAACTTTGAACGGTTCATCACTCATGGAGGGCCAAAGGTTTCAAAGATTTCCGTGGGACGATATTGCTCAGGTGGGGTTTTCAATGTGGAAAAAGCTTCAACTAGGAGATCTAGGAGAGCGGGAATACCCGAAGATATTTATAAGACCTTGTCTACCCCTGGGCTCAACAGTCTACCCCTGGACTATAGAATTGCACCCCAGAACAAGACTAGAAAACGCATGATAAGGTGAATTTTCTGCAAAGAAACCTATCACTCTGCACTTCTTGCTTTCCCAACAAAATGTCGGTGTGTGAAAGATGGCGACAGACCCAGTCTACATCCTTGCACTATGGACTCTGAGAACTTGACAACACAAGATTCTCAACCCCTGAATCGAGCAGCTGGCTTGCTAACGTTTTTTGTGAATCTCCGACCCCTCGGCTCCACTCTCTATATTCACGCATTGACGCACTGCCTGATTCAAGCCTAGGGCCGTCGGCAACGGGGCGGTATACCGCGCATCGAATCTCACTTCAGCAATATGATTATCTTAGTAGTGGGGATAAACCTGCCAATGACATCAAGCTTTCCAATGGAATTGGAAAAGGCCGCTATCTAATGCCAGGGCCCTGTCTCGAAGCAGGGATATGTGAATGCGGAATAGATCAATGGTACAGAGTACCTATCTTAGATATGATACAACTTAATTCAAGTACACCCAATCTTCCGTAGTAGGTAGAAGATGCTACCAAATCGTTGTCCTCGTCAAGCCGTCTCGTGGTAGTCTTATCATGTGAACGAGAATCCACGTAGATCCAGCTCAAAACCTTGGCGACAATTCCTCTCAATAGTAGTGGGTTCGTAGGACTAGAACTTGTCATGGTCCCGCCATGATGCTGAAGTAGTACGAGAAATCTTGCGAAGCGGATGTGGGATAGAGAGGAGGAATTTGATTTTTGGTTGAGTTAGGAGCATACCAACTTATCACGCATTGTAGTTTTGTAGGTATGAGTCATGTCTCAAGCTTTGAGTCATCTCTCTTGTCAGTAACACATGCGCTTATTGTTTGTGAGATCTTGACTAGGAATGATGCCATCGTCAGCTGAGCATCATGCGACCGTCAGAAAATGAAGACCACGAGAATGAGTGAAATGATTTATTTATTCGTTCTGTTAAGATGTAGGGGTTAACTTGAATGTATTCAAATGAAGACTAGGTAGTCATAAGTTGTGCAAGCGAAGTGTGCAGTTTCTAGAACTCGCTTGAGTATACGCGGAATGGAGAAGGAAAAATTCAAGTGGATTGATAACGCCAATAATGAAGAGTGTGTAGATAATACAGAGAAGGAGTCATATAGTAGATGTGCAAATGGGAGGTCTCAGAAGCAAGGCCTAATGGATCAATCAACATCTAGAGAAGCTAGACACCTAAAGAGCTGTAGAATTGGCCGCACATGACAATAATTCTTAGACCAAGTTGATTGCACCCATTCCTATCGCAGCCAAGCCTCGAGCAAGACGTCATGCTCAAGCAGCTGACATGCAACCAAGCCCCTTTGTATAGCGGCTGAGTCTTGGCAGCGGGGCAACGCCTTGAAGTGATTGCCCTCCCAGCTGATACGTGTCTGTTGTATTTGAGAATGAGCATGCTTGCCTCGTAAATAATCTGAAAATTCAGTCACTCTCCCGACGCAACTATACAGACATGTCGCTCTACGAAGAGTGTGTCAAGAAGGTAAGACCTTGCGCCCGGCTTGGGAGAGGCAATCAATAACGTCAGAGTGGCAGGCTGGTGGTGAAGATCGCGTCTGTGAGAATTGCAAACGTATAGTCAAGTGCTACGACACCGTCTTTGGCGTCAGAGCAGCGGGCGACAAGTTGGAGGATCGATGCTACTTTTCGACGTTACTGGCCGAAGCCTTTTCGCGCTCCGCGACGTGCTGGCATTGCGGATGGGTAGTCTTGCTTGCCTCGAACACCTGGACGAGCGAGATTGCAGCGAATGTCTCATCGCCAGATGCCCAGTTCACCAAGATAGAAATCAATTGGCAGTCCATCTCAGTGTACAAGGATTCCCGGGCTGTGGAGGGCCACCCAGTCATCGAGCGCATCTGGCTCTCGTATTCAGCGCCCTGGACGGGATCCGAGAAGAAGAGTATCTCCTTCTCCAAGTGTCTGAACAAACCACAGAATCTCTCGTTTGACACGGCGGATGGAGGTTTGCTTGTCGCGCGCAACGACTCAGTCCAATGGGGGCCCAAGGAGCCGTATGCAGGTCGCATTCGACCTGCAAGGATTGACCTGCAGTTATTGAAGAATTGGAAGGACAACTGCATCCATGATCATGGAGGCACTTGTGATCAAACATTCATGACCCATCAGGCATCACATCTTCGATTTGTCGATGTGTTGGAGAGGTGCGTCATCCAAGCTGCTCCCGACGAGGTGACATGGACGGCGTTGAGCTACTGCTGGGGAGGGCCTCAGGAGCATGCCCTGAAGACATCCAACTTCGATGAATACCAATTACCAGGCGCCTTGCGCGATGAAATGCTGCCACCTGGAATCATTGATGCGATGACGCTCGTTCGGGCGCTGGGTGAGCGCTATATATGGATCGATAGCTTGTGCATCATCCAAGACAATGACATAGACAAGCTCGAATTTCTACCAATGATGAGCACCATTTACGCCCATTCAGTCCTCACCATTGTCAACGCGGCCAACGACAAAGTCGCCATGGGCATGCCTGGCGTCAGCATCCCACGGCGCATGCAAAAGGTACATCAGATGAAAGACTTTTGGCTGGTAGAGGCATTGGACCTGCCGCATCAAAGCTGGCAGGGCTATCTACATGGGAGCACCTGGAACACTCGGGGCTGGACCTTTCAAGAGGGGCTCTTATCACCGCGTTGCCTAATAATTGGCGAGGGCCAGGCTTACTGGCAGTGTAAGACGAGTTCGTTTTGTGAGGACAGCTGCTGGGAGAATCCGCCAGGCAAGAACATTTATCGGCACTACTCTGGCTCCGAAATAATTAGTAGACTCACTGACTCGAGAGAGGAGAACTGGATGGACTTGTACAAGGATATTCTCGATGGGTACGCCAAGCGAGAGCTGACATCAGAGACCGACCGCCTGGGCGCCTTGGAAGCCATCCTTGACGTGCTCCGTCGCGATGACGAGGAGGGCTACTTCTGGGGTATGCCTAGAGGTCATCTGGAAATGGCACTGTCTTGGTCTTGGCACGCATCACGAAACACTAGGAGAGGGTGTGAGGCAAAGTACATTAGCCCAGGAAAGCAAGTCCGTTCTGCTCCATTTCCGACCTGGTCATGGCTAGGCTGGCATGGAGCTACCCCCATGCCGACGGTGAATAGAGCGATATTGGGCGGCAGACTTGGCTTGAAGTTCTACCGCATCTTGGATGGAGGCGTTCCAGAAGCGCTCGTCGATGGTGTCCCCTATGCTGGACCAGAGAGAGACTTTTCTAAAAAGGACTACATGACACACAACGACTGGTTCGAAACCATCGGTTATCCCAGGGGGCTAACGCATCCGTCCTTGGACTATTCCAGGCAGTCAGTTAGAAGAGCTGATATTCCCGAGAGTGTACTCTTGAGTAAACAGGCTCCGTCGGCACTGTGTTTTTGGACGAGCACGGCGGTCCTCGACATGAAGTACGAAGGTTGGCATGGCTCCAACCGTTGTCCCCTCATTTCTCTGTCACATGGCGATGTAAGTCACTGCGGAACGTGGGAGACCGACGAGTCTTTTAAACCAAATGGTCAAGGCAAGTTTATTGTTATTGGCACTGAGAGGATTCGCATGTCACACGGAGGCCATGTGACGGTGAACCTGCTTCTGGTGGACCAAGACGAACATGGGTTATCGTACCGGCGCCGACTTGTGACCTACACGCCAGAAAAAGTGTGGGATAGTTTCAAAAACCGAAAATGGGAACTGGTATTTTTAGCTTAACACCAAGTGGTGTTAAATAAATTCCAATGCCTTTCTAGCCGGACAAAAAGGCTGAAGTTTAATGTGTTGTGATACTGCGTATGGTGTCAACTTGTCAAATTCTTGGCATTTGGGAATCCCCCCCTTTATTTTCAGCAGCTGTATAGCTCCCTTACTTACTACTAGATAGGAATTCGCTTTAACTTATGGAAAATCATGTTCGAAAGAACTACTCAAGTAATATTATTTATTACTATAAGAGAAGCTAACCAGGGAGAAGTAGCCTATAACTTACAATAAAGAGGATAAATAGTATCGTATACTTCTATGAAGAGATTAATTACTCTCAAAATATATTAGCATAATGTAAATATTAAGTAGCAAAAGCGTCTAACTCCTAACTCTATAAATTAAGCAGCAATTAAATCAATCGCCGGTACACTAGCTGACACTGACGAAACTAGTTGCAGTTGACCATTTGGGGTTATATTGGAGACCGCGAAAATATTAGTTCCCTTGCCCACAGCCACACACTGCAGCGGCTGGCCTTGACGGATAGGGCTTGAGCATTGGAGAGGGTAATACCCTGTCACGAGGCTTGCCACTGAGTAAACACCATTACCCTGCGTGTTTGAAACGAGATATTGGTTGGTGCCGAAGACCCTGATATAGTTCAAGGTGTCAAGATAGAACTGGCCCGGGGAATACTGGCTGGCCACTGTGGAGGGCGGGTTGAAATAGAGGATGCTACCTGACTTGACCTGAGCAGGTTTGCCACCAACTATCGAGTTGCCGTTGTAGCTGGCCGGAGGATCTCTGTCTCTACCTTGAAGTGCGAACTGGGTAACGATAGGCCCGAGGGTTGATGTTGTTGAGGGGGGAGGGTTGCTTGTACTTGAGGAAGTAGAGAGAGACGCAATGGCTGAAGTAGACGCAATAGTTGAAGTAGACTCAATGGCTGAAGTGGATTCGATGGTTGAAGTAGATTCAATTGTCGAAGCAGGGGTGCTTTCTGAAACAGGTGTGCTTGCTGAACCAGGAGTGCTTTTTGATGTACTGACGGAGCTCGAGTCACTCTGTGTAGAAGTGGAGGGCGTAGTGGTGCTGGGTAACGCGCTGGTATCGATCGAACTTGGTGTAGCAGACGGGGTAACAACCTCTGAAGGAGTGCTGCTGGAAAGAGAGACACTTGTCGGAGTAGAGAGTGGTGTATCACTAAAGCTCACAATGACACTGGAGGATGAAGCATCAGAGGTGGAGGGGGTTGGCGTCGATCCATCGCTCGTCGACAAAATAGGAGTAGATGTCTGGGAGAGTTGCGAAGAAGGCCTTGGCTTGCAGCTCTTTTTAGCTGCGCCTGGATGGAAAAGCAAGGCGCTGGCGACGAAGCCTTGGAGAAGGTGTTGGGCGCGCATGGCGACTATTGGGGTGTGTCGTGTATGGATGGATGAATCTCGTAGGGGATGGGGGCATAAAGAAGTAAGAGAGAGAAAGAAGAGAGGAGAGGAGAAGAAAATATTCCAGTCCAACGCATCGAATAAGCAAGCAATGGAACTATTGAAACGTATATGGCCTAGTCAGGGGTGATCGTTATGTGCCTGGATCACTAGTTCCTCCTTCGGCTGCTAAGTGGATTGAATAACACACCCAACGCCACACACAGCCACTATCATTCTTTTAATTTAAAAAATAGTAAGAAAAAATATTCTGCAGTGCGTTGTTTACGTTTGAGAAGTAGCCTCAGTATATCGTGGTTTATCTCACCCACTTGACTGTCTTATCGACTTTACCTGGTGACAGCCTCCTCCGGGATACGGAGTCTTCAAATGCGCACCCCCAAATCTCGGCTGCGCACTCCATCTGGGTAATGTACCTCATACCCTTAGGGCCGTGGCCAAGTTATATACTTAGAAAGAGTTTTTAATGAAGCTGTTGCCTCGCTGTGGCTTGTGTAGATAGAGAGGTTAAAAAATAGAGTTAAAGGTTAGGTACGGACCGGAGATAGGTAAAAAAAGTTATGTGGATCTAGTCAAGTGTGGCCTGATCTCGGGATATCCCTTGCATGTAGTAGTAACTACAAGCAAAAAAAGTATCTTGCAGCAAAAAAATAATATTAAAAGGATTATTATTTAATAGAAGTGAATCGCTTCTCTTGCATCAGACCCCGAATCTTCTGAAGCTATTTCTGTTATATATACGGCTACAAAGATCTTGCTCACCAAGGCTAGTACTATACTTAACAATTATATATTGCTGTTAAAGCAAGAACGCACAGGTTTTCATGTATGGGAAAAGCAAGGGGCGGCTCGTTGCCGGTCGAGGAAGTATCCAGGGTGTTTCTCGTTGAGCTTGGCTTCAAGGGTTGGTTGTTGATAAGGGTTTTTTTTTTTCAAGGGACACCATGGATCCAGAAGAAGAAGAGACGAGATCTCATGCTCGGAGAGGGTTCACTGCTTTGAAACCCCTACAGGAGAAGCTTGCTATATAGGACATATAGGATAGGAGTGATGAGGAAAAGGATAACTATCTTGGATAAGCTAAGCTATATCATATCGAATTGATGTAACATTGAACCTGTTTGAAAACAGACGCCCAAAGAAATCTTTCAACTACGCTGCTTAATAATAAGATTGTAATTCATAAGGACAATAATCAGCTTTGGTTTAAAGACTGCGTAGAATACTTTATCAAGGTAGTATTATAAAGACTCCAAGATATATCATAGTAGCAGTACTGATTTCATAGTCAGAATCTGTCTGCGTGGGTTAAATTGAATATATATTGACTTTATAGAAATGGCGCCGAGGTCATTGAGCTATCTACAACAGACTCTCCATTGGCCTTCAAAACGACCGCTTCTTCAAGGCCTCATTCTTGCAGCTAGGCCCTCAATTGATAACCTGGCCCTAGCTGCCATAGTATCGGGCGAGCATTCGAGCGTGTCGGAAGTCTCGGGAAACACTTCCATGGAGACCCAGCCCATCCAGCCCCATAAGTGGAGGATAACATCTAAGAAATCAACCACGGGAAAGTATCCAGATGAGTCTCCAGGGAAAGGCCTCGCAGTTCTTGACCAGTACAATCGAGGATCGGTCGACTCTAGTGTTTGGAAGATAGGATCATCCTTGGCAAGAGGGGGCTCAAACAACTTTGCGTCCGAAATCTGGACGTAGGCGACTATATCTTTGGGTAGAGTTGTAGTAAGTTCTTGGAGGGATCTTGATAATGCTATATCACCGTCTAGTGCTCCACCACCTTGACTAGTAGGGTCTCCCCAGAGAAGAGCGTGGATGTGAAATGAATCCAGGCAGATTTTGAAATTGTTCCTATTCACTTTCCTCGCCAGTCGTAAGGCGTCTTGCCAAGTTGCATTGTGAGCAGCGAACGCCACCGGTTCATATGCAATGTTCACAATGCTGCCGCCTTGAGATGCCGCATCAGCCACAGCTCTCAGCTCATTCACGACCACATTTTCATTTTCAGTAGACCCGGGCAGGAACTGCGACGGAATTTGAATGAAATCCGCACCCAGCGTACGAGCTATGGAAAGCCAGATCTGGAAGTCATTAAGGCGCTCTTCGAGTCGAACAGATAGATTTCCCTCGAAGTAGCAATAAGCAATGAGCGAGAGGATTGATATGTGTAATTCTTTGCACAGCTTGTTGATTTTATGGGCGGCGTCCTCGTCAGTAAGACCTTTATTTTGGGCAAAGTGGCGAAAATCTCGAAAAGCAATTTCGATGGCGGAGAAGCCGGCAGTGGCAGCGCAGCAAATCTTGTCATCGAGGAGGTAAGAAGGATGTTTCCCGAGAGACAGGGACGAGATACATCGCCGACCTTGAAGAAATGGATGTGAACTCATATCTGTCAATGAAATCTTCTCAATTCGCCCAGTTGGGCCACCACACCTCCAGGAGCCAAAGTTGGAAAGCATGCGTTATATCAGGAAAATATCTACCATCCCAACCCCCTACCCTCCCCACTGAGGTCGGATCAGACTTTTGCCGGTTTTCGCACTATATCTACAGACGAAGAGGGCAATATCAGGGTTTATTGACGGAGGTGGTGCATGGCCCACAATCGGTTATTGAATCCCGTCCTATTCCCATCTTATTTATTGCTATTCCTAGAAACTCACGCTTCGTCCATCAACCTTGAGCATTCCACCAGTCATGAATTTGCTCTCGTCGGAGGCGAGGAATACCACAACCCCGGCAATATCATCAACCTCGGCAAAACGACCCAGCGGCATCGCCTTCTTTAGCTCTTCAATCTTTTCCGGGCCCCAGGTTGCATGAAACATCGGGGTATTCACGCCACTAGGATGGACCGTGTTGACTCTGATTCCGAACGGCCCCAGCTCACCAGCAGCAGTAAGACTAAGACCGCGCAGGGCAAATTTAGAAGTCGCGTAGATTGACATTCCAGGGGTCCCTCGCAGACCGGCGATTGAAGAGGTAATGATTATACTACCACCGTTGCCCAACTCCTTCATTGCCATTCCAGCGTATTTCACACCTAAGTATGCTGTGAAAGACACTCAACTTCGAGTCCATCAGGAAAGAAGAAAAGAAAAAGGAAGAATAGGAACAGAAGAGGGGTTAAAGGGACAAATATGCGAACAACTCACCAGATCGTACATTAACATTCATCACCTTGTCGAACCGATCCATGGTCTCATCCAAAATGGGCGTTGAGGAGTAACTGATACCGGCGTTGAGGAAAGCACAGTCGAGCCGACCTAGCTTAGCTACTACCTCGGAAAACATCCTCGTAGTGTCGTCTTCGGACGTCGAATCCGTAACAATCACCAGGACATGGCTCTCGTTTGTTGTCGGAATATCAGGTACCAGCTGCGTCTTAGCACTTTCGAGCGCCTCAGCGTTCAAGTCTACCAGTGCCACACTCGCGCCTTCTCGTAAGAACTGCCTGGCTGTCTCCAGACCTATGTTCCCGGCCGCACCAGTAATGACGGCTACCTTTCCTTGAAGTCGCATGGTCGAAGGAATGAATAAATGCAAAACACTTACGAATAGCGTTGGGCTGGGATTGACGGTATGGACCTATTCATGTATACGACGAAAAGACCTCAGTTCCAAATATACAGAGCAACGACGGCAAAGGTTATAGCCGAGTGAGAGAGACAGTACTCAACTCCGCTGCACGTAAAGTACAGAGTAAATACGGCAAGGATTATAGCCAAGGGTAGGATATAGTACTAAGCTCTCCTGAACGCGGGGTACATGGCAACTACGGCAAATTTTATAACCAATTGTAAGATGTAGTACTAGGCACGCTCTCCTGAACGCGGGGTGCGGGGCCCCACAGCTTCATGGGTGGAGATATCCATGGGTGAAGAGAATCTGCTATAAATTCATACACCATAGCAGCCACGATAGACCTGTATTTCTCATTCACAGCACTCTGAACGGTATACAGCTGAGACGGAACTCCATCATTCTTGAAGACATGCTTGCATATATCCGCCGAAGGCTCGAGGTCCATGATATCTCGGGGCAATCTACCCCAAAGGACATATATGGCTTTCGGCCATACTGGATCGCCTTCGCGGCCACTTGGGTAGGATATGTGCTCCTAATCCTGAGCTCCATAACTGATCATGACGTAGGCATCTGCAATGTATGGCTATGACTCAGCCTTCATTGGTGGCACTATTCAATTGCCCTCCTTCCAACAAGCATACGGGCTAGCCGGAAGGTCTAAAGAAGAGATCGCCTCTCTATCCGCTAATATCGTCTCGACTCTTCAGGGCGGCGCCTTTTTCGGTTGCATATTTGGCTTCTTCCTATCTGAATCTTTCGGCCGGAAGAAAATCATAGGGGCATCAGGTCTGATCTTCAGTATTGGCGCCGCCTTGCAAATGTTTGGCCGGATTCCTATGCTTTACGCGGGACGGGTCCTCACCGGTCTAGGAGTGGGTGCATCCTCTAACTTGATCCCAATCCATATTTCAGAGTGCTCTCCTGCTCTCATTCGTGGCCGTCTGGTCGGAATCTTTGAGATCATGTTGCAAATCGCGCTCGTTTTCGGTTTCTGGGTCAATTATAGTGTTCAGAGGAACATTCCCGATGATACCGACCGCCAGTGGCATATTCCCGTCGCTGTTCAGATCATTCCGGCCGGAATCCTAATGGTGTGTATGCCATTTGTCATTGAGTCTCCTCGCTGGCTTGTCTCAAAGGGACGCAATGAAGAGGCCATCCATTCGCTGGCCTGGGTGCGAAATCTACCAGAGGAACATCCATACGTGCAGCATGAATTTTCCGAAATCCAACTCGCCACTAAGAACAACGCTGATAATGGCGTTGCCTCCTCATTCGTTACAATCATCCGCGAATCTATGAAAGAGGGCGTTTGAAACCGTATAATCATTGGCATCTCCATGATGCTACTCCAAAATCTCCAAGGGTAAGTCCGACTGATCCTTCTATTGAATATCTATTAAATGATCCTAGCACCAATGCCCTAAACTATTACTCTCCTCTTATTTTCCGATCGATCGGATTCGAGGGAGTTAGTGTAGGCCTCCTTGCAACCGGTGTTTACGGACTTGTTAAGATGTGGACGACGATTATATTTATGTTGTTTTTTTGTGGATAGAACCGGCCGAAGATCTGCTCTGCTCTATGGTTCCGCTGGAGCTGGCTTCGTCCTATATTACCTCGCGGCCTATACAAAGATTTCGGGTTCTTTCGACCATCAGGTTCAGCGAGATGCCGGAGCCAATACAGCTGTTGTCATGATCTACTTTTTCTCGATATTTTATGGGTTCTCCTGGAATGGCATTCCATGGATCTTCGCCTCCGAAGTCATGCCTAATCACGCTCGAACCTTTGGAAATATGTGCGTGGTCTGCTTTCAGTGGGTGGGGCAATTTATTGTTGTCTACTCCACGCCGCATACGATGGTAAGTATTAAGTGGGGGACGTTTCTGTTCTTTGGGATGTGCACCACAGTCAGCTTTATTGCCGCCTACCTCTTCATTCCAGAGACCAAAGGTATTCAACTTGAGGACATGGATATCTTGTTCGGCCCAGAGGCACCAATATTTGCAAAGGCTATTCATGCGAGGTACCGGGAAAAGCATCAAGCTGGTGAAACGGCGGCAGCCAGGGAAGCCATTGCCGACAATATTCTGATTAAGAACGGGGTTATACATCTGGAGGGAGCGCGAGATAGATGCTTGAAGTATGTGAGTGGGCGAACTTGAGCCATGGTGCCCGGCTCCATTCTTATATCAGATAACGTAAACTGTATCTTGACCATCCACTGCTCCGCGTCTATGTCGAGCACAATCTGCATTATACTCCTCCGATAATTCTTCTTCTATCTCTTCCAAAAGACGGATATTTCATAGCTTGAATATAAGTACTTTGGTCCTCGGTCTAGCAATTTCGAACGAGTTTAAACCCCCAAGCCAAAGTGAACTCTCCGCTCGTTCCTATTACATAGTTTCGTGTTCAGTTAATTAGATTATAACATTGGGTTTATACAGGATATAAGTAAACACTCCAAAAGATAAATAGAGAGAACTACTAACTGGACAGCCTTATTGTCTGGAGAACCGCAATTATGAAAATTCTCTACAACTTAATAAACTAAATAACGAAGCTACCGAAGATACAAATAGCCTGAGGCTAGTATATATAGTAAGAAATAGAAGTACTTCTATATTGTACTCTCTCAGACCTAACAGGCACGGTTAACCGAGGGTTCTACAGAGCATACATGCGAAGTTACCCAACTGGCCGGTATTGGAGCATCAGACGTGGTATTATGGAGTGAATTTGATACTAAACAACGGGCGTCCAACCCAGCGCACATCTAGCTAACACCCTGATAACACCTTGACTCGCCTCTCTATAGCAAATGCTCATTCATCAGGGTCCGGGAAAAGCATTCCAAGCCATCAAACATTTGAATAGGGCCGCGATACCTTCGACATGAAAATAGGTATAACTCTTATGCGGGCACCCCTGGCCAGAAGATAATCCCAGTATATCTGGTCCGATTGCCTTAGTTTTGATATGCTGCATAAATTCAAGTTTCTTCGATGTTATTTGATTGAGCTTGGGATGTATTCTTATGACGTTGGGAAGAATATGACATCAGCCGATAAGAGTAAGGGCAAGTACCAATGTAATTGCCTTTAATCTACATGTAGTGTACTTTGCACTTTTCGGCGGTATGGGAAGGAAATATCGGTATATTAACTAAAAAAAACTATAGTATAGAAAAATATTATATAATTCAATCAGTATATAGTAACTTATAATTAGCTATTATATTTTTATTTAAAAACTCTAGTAACTATATATAAATATATTATAAAACTAATACTAATAGATTAACTTTTCTTAATTTAACTTCTCCTTCTAATAAACTTCTACTATCTAATATTTAACTTAATTCTAATTAATTTAATCCTATTTTATCTAAATATAATTAAAATTAATATTAAACTAATAGTTTAAACTATAATAGCCTCTATTTATATAAGTTCTATATAATATATAATATATTAGAACTAGAGGGTATATCTCTAGTTATTATAGTTATTAAGTATTTAGTTATTAAGATATAGTTTATTAACCCTATCTTTATTATTTATTAGTACTCTATACTAAGTATAAGGTACTAATAACTCTTTATAAGCTTTATAGTAGAATATTAAGCCTAATAGTTATAACTACTGAGCTTATATATCTATAAGTAGTTTTAATACTACTAGGAGTTCTATTACTAAGTATAAACTCTAATATTAGATATATTTATTATATATAACCTATAGATTATTACTAATTATCTTTATTATATATATAAGGATCTTATTCTATACTATTAGTAGGCTTTAGCTAGTTAAGATAATTATATTAGAAAAAGCTATTATTATTATTATAAGGTAAGGTTAAATAGTTATTTAGCTATAGTTAATTAGCTATAGTTAGTTAGTAATTAGTAATAATAAGCTTATTTACTTACTTATATACTTACTTACTTAGAGTTTTATAGTTAATTATAATTAATAAGTATTCCCTCTTAGGGCTTATAGCTAAATTATATACTTAATAAAGGCTTTTTTAACTTTTTAATAAAGTTATTATCTTACTATAGTTTATATAGATAGAAAGTAAAAAATAGAGTTAAAGGTTAGGTATAAACTGGAAATAAGTAAAAATAAGTTATATAGATCTAGTTATATATAGCCTGATCTCAGGATATCCCCCTTATATATAGTAATAACTATAAAAATAACTAAAAAAAATATCTAATTAAAATCAAAATAAAATATAATACTTTTTTTTTGTTCAAGTGTTGATTCTTTGTTGCTTCCTTTCTGCTCTCTTCTGTCTCGCGTCCAGTATTCGAATCACCTCTGTCAAGATGTCTGGAACCACCGATTTTTTTAAATTTTTTTTTTTGGTAGTTATTACCGTATGCAAGGGAGATATCCCGAGATCAGGCCACAGTGACGAGATCCACACAACTTGTTTTTACTTCAAATCTCCGGTCCGTACCCAACCTTCAACTCTTTTTTTTTTTTTTTTTTTTTTTCATCTACACACGCCACAGCAAGGCAACAGCTTCATCAAAAAACTCTAAGAAGGCCTTGCTAAGTATATAACTTGGCCATGAGCCCCAAGGGGGGACGCTCGTCATCCACAATCAATAACACCTTCTGGGACCACCGATGAACGTTTTGATTACAATTTGTATGTACTCAAAGGGGAAGGAGTGGATGCTCTGCTCCGGGACGCCATTGAGAAGAAGGGTGATCAGTACCAGTCGCCGCCAGACCTTGATCCTTGGTACGGTTCAAGAACCGAGTATGAGAACTGGGATGCTGCCAAGCTGGACAATCCGTTGGGACGTGCTGTCGCTTCTTTCGGTGACCCGGTGGACGATTATGTGTCCACTCATGTATATCCCTTACCGCTTACCGGAAATGGGAGTGGCCCCCTATTTCAACCTGATTCATCCGACGGGTAGATCCGTCGTCTGCGTGTCCATGCTGGCAAATAATCCGGTTATGTTAGGCCGCAAGCTCATCTCGAGCGCAACGGTCGTATATTTAGGGGCTTACAGTATCCGCTGGAATCTGGAGCCCTGCCCGCACGACGCCTCTCCGATGTCGAGGAAGCAGCAGCGAAAGCACCGAAAGGCGCTTTCTAGATCTTCTATACGAAGTTCCACCGGCGCATAGACGCCTCCAGCAGTTATTATCTAGTTATTGTCTAGTTATTATCTAGCTATTATCCACTCATTGTTTAGTTAAATAAGAAGATTTGCATGCTCTTACCACCTCATCTACTGTGTCGCAGCCATATGGCCATAATTCCAGCATCGCAATACTGATAGAAGAAGCGGCCATTCAGCCACTACCGGAGCCCTTAGCTATCAGCCCAGGCCCCAAATGTACTGCAATGGCAAGGGTCCGTACCCAATACAATCCGGTTTCAAGACCATAGCTCGCAAGAAGACGCGGCAGGTCTCATTTAGTTCCCGTCCTACTATCCGCCAGGGTGAGTGGTGGTCAAGGCTGCTGGCAAAAAGGAGGCAATACCCAAGCACCTAGAAATCGACAAATTGATATAATACCTAGTATCGCAACACGGCCAACACATCACAATTCGGACTTTTTGCCGGCCATAAGGCTTACGCCCAGACGTACATAAAGTTCGACGCCAACAATGGCTTGTGCCCGACATGAGAACTCTTTCACTGGCGTCGCTCCACCATGAACCCTGAAAACATGCTTTCCTCCGATATAAAGGCCGTCATCCCCGACCTTGCTCTTAGCAACAGTGAAATTTGTACCACTTGCGAATATATCTGACTGAGCCGCGTATATCGCTGCTCACACAGATCAAGCCCCAACAAACAATCTACCGAGCACTCGCCCGATCGGCCCCTTCAAGCCTTTATATCCCTTGTTTACTCCTCCTTTGCCCAACCAAATACGATCGGAGAAACGTGCAACAATGTCTCGACACACAATAATGCCTGATTCGATGGAGACATCTCAAGAGGAGACACGAGAGGAAGTGTTCCACTTTGCGCGCTTGGAAATGGAATCGGCTAATCGCCGTTCTATACTCTACGACCTTGTGGAATACCCTTATAGGCCGTGCGCTGTCCCTGCTGTGGCGAAAGGCTGGGCTTGTGGCACAATGGCCGCAGGTGAGAGTCCTATGCACTGCAGTATTATGGACATGTGGCCGTATGAAGCTCAGTCATTATGCAACAAGACTGTCCCTATCTACATAATGCCCGATCAAAAGCGTGTAGGCCCTGGCTCGAGCTTTGACTTGTACCGCAATCTCGCAAACTCGCTCTACTCATGGCTCCAACGCCAGTGGCTCAACCCTTACCGGACCAACATCGAATTTGAGCGATTCATTGCCAAGACAATCTATCCGCAATGCGTCAACTGGGACACCGATATAACTGAGCTGGCTGAAATACTTGTGTCGATGCACGAAACGATTTGTTCGCAAGTTCCCATTGTATCGGCGAAAGCTGTCAAAAATGAGGCTTTTTATTATCGAGACATTGTCTATTGCCACCCAGAGGTTCACATAGTCCAGCCGATTTTCCGTGCCATGTTAATCATTTTGCCGTCTGACAATTTCAACGTGGCAAGCATGGATCGCGAGGAACTCGGTTCAACCCCTGTCTATCTGGTGCTCACCAACTGCACCATGGGTCTCAGTGCTCCAATTCCCTTTGAGCCCATATTGGACAAGGTTGAGCGCACCTTGTCCGACCGCGTTGTGCAAGTCACTCTCAAGGACGCGATTACATTCGTTAAAGACCTTGAGGACCGTGAAAATGCCATCTACGGTCCGCTTCCCAACCCAGCCAAGATGGATCAAGAACTGTACGAAACTTATGTTGGCCAAGATGGATTCCTGGTTATAGAGATGGCTAAACGAATGGGCGATGTCAATGATCTTCCTTGTCTGAAAGGCCCGAGCTCGGGCTGGGTGACCCGGCCTAGTAAATATACAAGAATGGAGGCAAAAGCTGCTATTGACAGAGAAACGTACCAAGAGAGGCTCGAATTAGACAAGCGGGAGAGGTGGATCAAGAAATATGTGACAAGGGAGGAGCAAGATTAAGAATATGAACAAACCAACTCCGGGATGATCCCCTTCCCTTGTGAGCAAGACAGATCAATGAGCTTTTTTTTTTTTTTTTTTGTACGGCATCTCCAACAGCGTCGGTACGGTCCGGCGTGTGTATGGGACAAACTAGACAACTTCCACCCTGAATGATTAGACAAGGTAAACAGGGCGGATGACCCAACCAAACAACCCAGCTGGTGGCCATTTAAGGGCGGCAACACGTAATGCCTAGGCCGCCAAATTGCCAAGCGATCGACGCTGAGCTCTATCGCTCTGGTTCTGTACCGGTTTGAACTGGAACTCGTGGGACAAGCTGGCTTCACTGAGCCTGACATTGGTAGACCTGTGCTTGGCATGTCGGGCACTCCGAGCAATCCGGGCATGTCGGGCATAAGGACATGGAAGACTTCATGATTAAGCTGAGGCCCCGATCAAATCATAAAATGCTAGGATTATTACAGCGAGTGAGATTTCAACTGTTAGGCCTACCTAGTTGTTGGTGGTCCATGCCTCGCATGTAGAGCTGAATGAAACAAACTCCTCTTATCGCCTTGTCTGCTTACAACAGCTGCATATACAGGCCGCTTCTCTGGCGATGCGGTGAGCCCCTGCATGTGTGGTACCGCTCCCAACCGAAAATACCGTGGACAATCCCTCAGCACCCAGTCAGAAAAAAAATCGAAGCCCCCTCATCCTCTGCTCCGCACTCCTTGCTGGCACATTTTGTGTATCAACGATCAGGTTTGGGGACATCACAAACATCCCATCAACTAATCGCATAACATGCCGCCCACGTTTTGGAGCCTCTTGACACAATGTTATCCTCCAGCTCCCCAATTCACCGATAAGGATGTGGTCGACCTGACTGGAAAAGTATGTAGCCTCCATGAACGCTCACTTTGTTTCGCTCTAGTCAAGCAGCCTATTCTAATCCGTTGATAGGTCTACATTGTTACTGGCGCAACATCGGGAGTTGGTAAAGAACTGGCTCGCATGCTGTATGCGAAGAATGCCAAGGTTTATATTGCTGCGCGAGAAGAGAAGGACACCATCAGCCAAATTGAGCAGCTTGAGCCAAACTCAAATGGCAGCTTAGAATTCCTCAAACTAGATCTTGCCGATTTGCGGTCAGTCAAGTCAGCAGCTGAGTCCTTTCTTGCGGCTGAGACTCAGCTGAATGTGCTATTCAATAATGCTGGTGTCATGACAAATGATGGCAAGAATGGCGAAGTCAATAAGTCCGCACAAGGCTATGAGCAGCAACTGGCAGTGAATGCCTTAGGCCCATTCCTCTTCACTAAGCTGCTCACTCCTCTGCTCCAAGCTACAGCCTCGAAGAAGAGCACATGGACAAATGAGGTCCGCGTCATCTTTATTTCTTCTTTTGGTGCAGAAATGTACCACGAAAAGGGGGTAGGCATCGATATGGAGAATCTTGACTACCATCACCCCAAAGCTCCTATGGAGCGCTACGCCATTAGCAAGGTAGGCGCATGGACATACGGCGTTGAGTTTTCGAGGAGGTTCAAGGCCGAAGGGGTTATTGGGGTCCCTGCCAACCCCGGAAACCTGCGATCTGCTCTCTTCTCACAGCAAGGCATCCTAATGAGACTTCAAGTGGCACTTATGCACTACCCCCCAGTCAAGGGTGCCTACACGCAGCTATACGCAGCTTTCTCGCCTGATATTACACAAGAAAATGCCGGCACCTACCTCTTCCCCTTTGGTCGGATGGGAGAGATCTGCAAGGAGCTCCAGGATGCAGCTGAGCCGGATGGTGGAGCGGACCTGGCACGTAAGTTCTGGGAGTGGAGTGAGAAGCAGGTTGAGAAGTTTGCCTGATGCATTGCCTGTCTTAAGTCGCCGTTGCTAGTTGCACCAAATTTCAAAATTCCTCCCACCCGGGCCTATTGTTCCAAGCATTGCCATCTTCATCTTGATTGCGACCTACTACTAACGACCAACACTGCAATACACCACCCTGATATGGGTTACACCTTGTGATATCAACCCGTGGACCATCCAATTCTCATCACCCATTACGTACTTCGGTGTAGCAGCTACGTTAATCCTTTGTCGTATCCTATTAGGGAGAATGTATACTAAAAACGGACATGAGGTGCTCGACTACATGCGTGACCAACATGACGTCCCCGCCTATTGACTCAATGCCACATATGTCGAGGTAAATACCTACAGGCCCTTTGTATGGCTAGCAAGAGGTGCTAACTGACGATGCCACCTGAATTACTCCATGCAGATCCTCATACCTATTTTTTTTTGGGGGGTTTTTGCCATATATAAGGGATATCCCAGGATCAGGCTATATATAACTAGATCTATATAACTAGTTTTTTACTTATTTCCAGTCTATATCTAATCTTTAACTCTGTTTTTTATACTTTTCTTTATATATAAGCTATAGTAAGATAATAGCTTTATTAAAACTCTAAGAAGACCTTACTAAATATATAACTTAGCTATAGGCCCTAAGGGGGGGTACTTATTATCTATAGTTAATTATAAAATCTTTCTAAGTAAGTAAATAAGTAAGCTATAACTTATTATTATAAATTATAAATTACTAAATACTAACTATCTCTTCTTATAATTAATTATTACTAACTATATCTATATATAACTAATTATTATAATAATAGCCTTTATAAATACTATTATCCCTAGTAGCTAGAGGCTAGTATTAGTATATAATCTAGTCCTTATATATTTAAGGAAGATAATTAATAAAAACTCTTAGAACCTTAAATATAATATTTAATATTCTAGTTTATACTTTATAACTAGCTTTCTTACTATTATAAAACTACTTATACTAGTATAAGTACAGGAGCTATAGATACTTAGATATAAATTATACTATATAGCTTATTAAGACTTAGAAATTAATCTAATCCTTTAGAAAGTACTTAAAAAGGAGCTAGATAACTTCCCTTAAGTACTAGAGATATATAATAACTAGAGTTACTTCCTCTAGTTCTAGTATATTATATACTATATTAAGATTATTTAGAAGGAGATAGCCTTTAAAGGATAATTTAATCTATTACTTAGTTAGAGTTATAAACTACTAAATAGATTCTAATAAAATTATATTAAATTATTAAGGGTTTATTAAGAGAAAAGTTTAATTAATTAAGATTAATCTAGTAATATTAGGGTTATAGTATATTAGTTAATTACTATAGTAGAATTTTAAATAAAAGTTTAATAGCTAATTAAAGATATTATTATATACTATAAATAATACGATATTATTACATACCGTGCCTCATACCTATATAGCATGCATAATTAGCATTCAAAACCGATCAATAACTGATGAAATAGTGGAGCCGGAGGGCGGGAACGGTTTTGTGATACGGAAACCCGGCCGGAATTTACGATGAGTAAAAAGTGGGTTTTGCGATGCCACCAGACACTTTTGAGAGGCTTCGGGCTTCGCATTGATGATATTTATACGGCAAGTCATCGTCCATTAGTCAGTCTTGGACACAAATATACGCTTTGTGTCCTTGATTTGTGCCCATCCCTTGAGACTTAGAACTCACGTCCAGAATCCATGCGTGGAACGAATATCTGATCATGCCTCTGAACAAGACCGACCCAATAGTTGTTGTCGGAGCTGGGGTATTTGGACTTTCCATTGCCTTGGAACTACGACAACGTGCCTACAAGAACATTACGGTGCTCGACCGCATGCTGCCGCCTGTTGCTGATGGGAGTAGTAATGACACAAGCCGCATTATTCGCCCTGACTACGTGGATACCTTCTATGCTAGACTTGCTACTGAAGCTATTGGTCTATGGAGAGAATCTGACCTGCTCAAGCCATTCTACCATCCAACGGGATTCGTTCTTGCCTCTGAGAAGGCTCGTGATGAGTATCTAGAGCATGGTAAACAAGTCCTCTCACAACAAGGGAATCGTTTTCAATCCTTCCAAACTACCGACGAGTTGAAGAGTATAAGGCCCGAGCTACGGGACATAACCTTCCCATTCTCAGGATACATTAGCCATAACGCTGGATGGGTAGATGCAGCAGGCGCTGTGAGAGCAGTTGCCGAACGCCTAGGAGAACTCGGCGTGTCCTTTGTCACCGGACCCAGAGGAACCATGACGTCTCTAAAGACAAATCAAGATTCGCAAGTTGTTGGTGTCATTGTTGCTCACGGCCCGCCCATCCCAGCATCCAGGGTTATCCTAGCTACAGGAGCGTGGACAAACCACTACTTGAACCTTGATGGTGCCATAACATCGTCGGCGCAGCCAGTCGGCTTTATCAAGCTCACTCCCGAGGAAGCCCATACCTTGGGCAATATGCCTGTGGTCGACAATATGACATCTGGCTGCTTCGTGTTTCCGCCTACGCCAGACACGCACGTTCTCAAGATTGCTAGGCATAGCCACGGCTTTGAGACCAGCATCGCCCCAGACTCGCAAAGTGAGCGCCGCATTTCCGCACCCAAGAGGGACTCGAACAATGCCGCCGCCTCGTGGATTCCAGAGGATGCGGATGCAGCGTTCAGAAAGGCGCTGAAACAACTGGTGCCTATCGCGGCAGAAAAGCCTTGGGCACGGAGGCGCCTGTGTTGGTACACAGAGACACCCCGGGGCGACTTCATCGCCGATCATCATCCTTCCCTCACCGGGCTATTTGTCGTGACTGGCGGCGCAGGGCAGTAAGTAGATGCCACCAATAATGAGGGTATAAAGGGTTCATCGATCCTAACAGACTTACTTCTTACAGTGGCTTCAAGTTCCTACCTGTCCTGGGTCGTTACACCGCAGACTGCTTCGAAGGAAAGGCGTCAGAGGAACTACAGCGCAGATGGAAGCTTCATGTTGACGAGGATAAGGCTCCTCCAGGTCCAATTGTGTGCAACGATGGGAGTCGTAGAGGTCCAGCTCGCCGAAAGCTTACTTCTGTAGAGCAAGCTAAGCTTTGAGACCGAGCCTCAACTGCGAACAAGACAACATCAAGAATTATAGCGCCCCCTTGAAAGAGGAACTACTCCGGATCATCATTCTCTTCTAGGCCAGAGGCGCAGAAAAGCCATTGTCAGGTTGCAGCCACGATAGATCGGTTGAAGATGCGTAGAGGGATAATAAATCATTGAAACATAGCCGTTCCTCGTCTTCATCCGTGGAAGTAAGAGCTGGTCTGTTTGTGGTTGCAGATGTCGGCGTGCTCGTATGTTCATCTACCGGGTGGAGGATATGGGTTGTAATTCGCAGAGTTGCATCTCCCATCGGGCTTGCTCTGGAGTTAGAGTCGTGGCCGCTCTGATCATCAGCAATGTTCTCAAGGATCAGAGGATCAAGCAGTTTCCAGAACGTTGAGGGTCTGAATGTCGTCGTCACCCCTTCTGCTACGCCCCCTTGACGACTCTGTCCTTGGGATGATGACAAGCTTTGAAGCAATTTGAGCTAGGAGATCTTTAGCAGTTGTCCGGGCGTGAGCGCAACATGATTTTTGCCTTTGGTCTGCCCCTTACCTTGCCAGTGATATGCGGCCATGTCGCTGAAGCATCCCGGAGATACGTCTCACAAGTTTCGAAGCCTTCCCCGGCTCTTGCAGATGCATTAGTGTCTCCAGCAAACTTAAAGAGCCACAGAACAGTCGCCGTAGCTGCGACCAGTTGCGCAATCAGAGGGTCGCGAATGTCTAACCCGACATCGTTGCAAATTTGTATGAAGCGCACAACCCACTTCGAGTGATAGAGGGCTTGGTCAATCACGCTTTGCAGAAATAATCGTGGGGGAGCACGACGATCGGCAACCCGCAGAGCTACCATGTGGATGAATGGATGGTTGAGGACCGCTGAAGCCGCATGGTGAGTCATTTGCATCAGGATCCAGGGCCGCCAGTAATCCAAGTTCTCGGCGATCTCCGATGGTGACCGTTCTGAGAGTGAAGTATTTCTGAAAAGGTGTTTAACGGCGGTTCCATCCTCAAACTCATATACACTTTGAGTGAGTTGGTTATACCTAGACATGGGCTCCCAGGGGTATTCAAGTTTCTTCCATCGTATCCCCTGCGTGTAAGAGACTACGCCTCCCCACACGGAGACGATCTTCAATAATGATGAATTGACACCGTCGTCTGACACATCTGGTGTCTGGGCGATGTCAGTGTTCTCGCTCTCGTAACAAGTCCGTAGCGGAGGTGGACATTCGGCACTTCTGGGATACTTCGGAGTAAATGGGTGTTGGTTGAGCAGCATATACTGTGGAGAGAAGTAACTCTCCAGAATGTGAACACTCCAGTAGCATCTTGAACTGCTTTCGCTCATTTCTTGGCCTTGAGCCTTCACAGGCCCACGACAACTCCGAGCCGCTTCCAACCTCGCTGCAGTGCCTATAGTATTCCAGGCGCGAGCAAGCTTGAGCGCTGTACCAGTAATAGTTAGGCCCTGACAGTTGAAACAATTAACCACTTGTACATACCTTTGAGATCATGCAGTGCCAACATGGAGAGAGACTGCACTAACTCCATGTTGGTAATGCCTTCGGTTATCAACGGAACCATGGCGTCATATGCTGCATTCGCATAGCACTCAGAATACTCTGTCTCTTTCCTATTATAGTGGAAATGGCGACATGACCGAAGTATCAAGGCTAGGAAACTGTATCGGAAGTACATCGGAGATTGTGCAAGGCAATATCGCAAATTATGAGTGGTAAATAGTAGGAGAGGACGGAGAAACAGTTTCTTCCCATATTGATCAACGAAGTGATCCCAAACCTCCGATGAAGGTTCAGGGCTATAGCACACATTAGTCCGACGATAGCATATAGAATAAGGAACCATGAATTGGCATACGGATCAGGCCCGTCGAAAATCAAGCCGCGCGGAGTTTTTAGAAAATTCTGGCCCTGATACTCGTGTATAGTTTCACTGAGCCTATCCGCAGACCTATAGTCTGATTCAACTTGCTCAGAATACTCATAGGCATGCTGATCGGCTGACGATCTGCTCCTAGACTTATGGATTAGTGTGAAAGTGAGACAACAGTTAGAAAAACCACATTTAAACGCACTCCAATAGATGTGAAAGCCGACTGACTTGTGCTTCCAGCTTACTTAGACGATCCTTAGACGTAGTACTTCTTCACATTAGCATTCAAAGTCAATTGGCATCTACAATGATACGCTGATGCTGTGGCATCTTACTGCTTCACTACTCGAGTATTTTCCTCTCTGACCTGCGGTCGCTCCCGAGGGAGATAGACGCATGATTGATTCAGACGTCGGCAGAAGGCACAAATAGGCTTCTCTGCAGTACACCTTATCTTTTTCCGGCTGCATTAAAAAGGTGCATTAGTCTCTTGAAATCTTTTGAGGGGATCGCATAATCATAATGGCTTACCGACAGGCCTCGCAGGCATGCCGAACACGGGTCTCCGGTGAGTAGCTCATTCCTAACGGTAAGGCCACATGGACACCTTGAGTGCAACGTGTATGAGTGTTAGGGAGAACTGTGTGAGCTTTTGGGATCCGAATCCCGATGACGTATCCGGCCGACCGATTGCGTGATAGGGAGAGGAAATGAGGAGATCTATTCGGAACTCCGAATTCCTTTATCCTTACTTAAATATCTCTTATCAGTCTGTCCTACCGACGATGGCGTGATGAGAAAGAAAAGGAGCAACCACATTCGGAATTCCGGATTCTTTTTATTTAATTTCTCCCATCGTTTGCCGTACTGACGGATGGCGTGATGGTGGAAGAAATGAGAAGATCCATCCGGGATTCCGGGTTATTTACCCAAATCCTCTTGTCAGTTCGCCCCTCCCAGTAGTAGACAGCCTACCGCCATATTCACTGGGAAAAGAAATCAGAAATTGAAGTACAAGCATGAAGCACGCAGCCACATGCATCTCTCAGGTAGGTAGATTAGACATGGTAGAAGTTTAATCTAAGACCCCGTCCACAACTTAATCAAAGTGCCATTCTCCCCCTCAACCGGATCCGCGGTCGGCAAAGGCACCTGCGAGATCTCGTTTATTAGTTGCGGCATGAGTTCGATATTGTCGCAACGCTGGCTGGTCCATTTAGGCGAACCCTGGTTCACAGCTATTAGCATCCTGCATTGTAGAGTTGATGGATGGATGGCGTGTAAGCGCAGCCCAGCGACGAGACGGAAAATTCTAGACTTGCCTCTGGATATACGCCAACAAAGCGATAATCGTCACTCATCTCTGTATTCATATGCGATGTACCCGCGGGTATCACAATAACATCGCCGGGATTAAGAGATATCAGTCGCCCTCCTACATCACCGTCGAGTTGTCCCCGCCCCAAAAGCATAGTGGTCGTGCCGGTTACGACACCTGAGAGGTTCAGAATGCGCTAGTTACTTCCTCGTCGTCCCTTAAAAGGCTTACCATAGCACTCATGTGTGTTTGGATGAAAATGGTGAACTGATGTTCCGGACCAGAAACCCTGTTCAACCGTTAATCAACTGGCTGCAACATCGGGGTGTAGGAAGTCCTGTGTCCTCGGAAATGGCTTCACCTTCTTCTCCCACCTGTTGGCTTGTAAAAACGCTGTTGTGGTGGCTTCTGAGGGTGGTTTTGGTAGCACATCTCGGTACACAAGGACAGGATGCTTGTTGTTTGGAACATATAAAGTTGGAGGAAGCACGAAAGTTTCGACTTTGGGAGCCATTGAGCTAGAAATCAGACAAAGTCGGCTTCAATGATGGATCTGGACAGTAATGTCAAATTTACTAATAATTTGTTTGGATCTGGCCCAAAGAACCTTTTCGAGACTTCTCTAAAGGCCCCAACCGTGAAAACGACAGACTTGCCGAGCAACAATGCTAGCCGGTTAAATTCATCACTCCAGGCCATGTACAATCAGGAGCCTAGTTAGTGTATGTAGTTACTTTTTAATAGCGCCGATCACGTCATTCGGGTCGCTTAGACTCCCTTCGGATTTCCGGGATTCCGAGCCAGCTTGCGCCGAATATCCCCAGTAACCAGCTCATAGGGGATTTCCTCAAAGCCCTAGCAATTGTTATTTCGATCTATGCTTTGAGGGATGTATGGCGGTGATGGTGATAAGAAAAAAAATTGGTAGAGTAATTTTCTGGTCGCCTCATCTCCTTTGATCGCCGTTCAAACCCCTCCTTTAGACCATGAAGCCGACACCAAGCATAGACGGTCAACAAATAGGCGAGCGACCAATCGACTCATGTCGCCCGATCAAGGTTGTTTGCATTGGTGCCGGGATATCGGGTATTGTTACTGCGATCCGTTTCCCGCAGCATATCAAGAACCTCACCTTGACTGTGTACGAAAAGAACAAGGGTCCGGGAGGGACTTGGTTCGAAAATAAGTCAGTAAACATTGTTTTCATTGATAGCTTCATACGTGCTGACTTGCTGAAGCTACCCTGGTATTTCTTGCGGTATGTCTTTGTCCATTAGCGGCAACAAAAATATGTCTAACTAGGTCCCTCAGATATACCTTCCCATGCTTATCAGTTCACCTTCGAAAACAACCCAAATTGGAGTCGTTTCTATGCTCCTGGTTCTGAGATCCTAAAATATCTGAACCACGTGGTAGACAAGTATGGCGCCCGAAAGTACATGAAGTTTGAACACCAGTTCAAAGGCGCACGTTGGCTAGCAGACGTGGGCAAGTGGCAGATCGACGTCCTGAGGTTACCTGATGGTGAAGTGAGTATAGGCCCTATCAGCAGCTCCGTTAATGAAGCTAAGAGCGAAAGATTATACACGACACTGCCGATGTTCTAGTGAAGGGCACTGGAACCCTGAACAAGTGGAAGTGGCCTCAAATCGAGGGTCTCCATAGTTTTGAGGGTACTCTTCTGCACTCAGCTCGATGGGATACGTCTTTTGACGCCAGTGGGAAAAGTATAGCCGTTATAGGAAATGGCTCAACTGGTATCCAGATCGTGCCAGCTTTGCAGCCAGTGGCAACACGCATTGACTCGTATATACGTTCAAAAGCTTGGGTATCCCCTAGGGGACCTTTTGGGGAACTTGTCGAAAATCATGATGGGAATGAAAACTGTACGTCTACATGTTCCAAACATTTGAATATACCATTTGACCGTGCCTGGAAGTTGACGGGGTTTTAGTTTTTCATTCGGAAGAGGAAAGGTCAAATTTTTCTCAGAAGCCGGAACAGCTCCTGGAATATCGCAAGGGAATCGAGGAAATACTTCATCAGTCTTACCTGAGGGTATTCACCGACTCAGTTCCACGACAAGAAGCCGCAGAAAAGCTTCAAAAGCTGGTTCAGGAGAAGTTGGCGTCAAAACCTGGCCTCTTCGAGCTACTTCGACCCAAATGGCCGGTCGGCTGCAAACGTCTTGGTGCCTCCCCTGGCTATCTCGAAGCCCTTACCAAAGACAATGTCGACATAATCACGTCGGGCATCAAGAGAGTCGTGGCGGATGGAATCCTGGACGGCGAAAATGTTCTGAGGCCAGTAGACGCAATAGTTTGCGCTACTGGCTTCGACACGTAAGTCAATGGTGCCACAATACTTGACATGCCCCCAACACGTTTGCTCTGATACGTTTACCTAGATCTCTCAGATTGGCAGACACTCCGATTCTAGGACAAGGCGGCGTCTCACTAGACGAGGTTTGGACGCCGGAGCCGGAGGCCTATCTATCTGTCATGCCAGTAAAGATGCCAAACCTCTTCCTTTACCTAGGGCCTAATGGCGCGCCCCAATCAACTATGGTTGTTATGATTGAGTTTCAGTGCGACTATATGATTGCATGTATTCAAAAGCTTCAGCGGGAATATCTAAAATCAATGGTTCCCAAGGAGGAGGCCAAGAACGACTTCATCAGATATGCCGATGAATTCTTCTCCAAGACAGTACTTACCGAAGACTGCGCGTCGTGGTTCAAGAGTGGCGGGCGAAAGGACGGGAGAATCACAGCTATGTGGCCAGGGTCCTTGGTTCATGCCTGGAAAGCGTACAAGAACCCACGCTGGGAGGATTTCGAGTACGAGAGGCTATCGGAAGTTGAAGGCAATAGCCTCGCTTGGTTTGGTAATGGTCTTACGGTCAGCCAGATGGAAGGTACACCGAGCACAGCCTACCTTGACAAGGTAAACGTTCCACCAGTAGATCATACATATGACGGCTCGCTATGAAATTCTAGTAGCCAAATGAATATTGGAAAATAATTCTTTACTCAAACATTCATAGCGCGAGATGTCGAGTCTAATTCCGCACACCAACATGTATGCCGATACATCGTGTATCAATGCGTGCCAAGGCCTACGCTTTGCATGTAAATTTTGTCATTTGGAATGGCTGATTGATTAAAGGTCATGGCCCCAATCTCTGTATTCCTCCCCTCGTTAACATGCTATTAGCATACTCTTGCACGACGGAGGGCGTCTAAAGATAATGATCATCCTCAACATATGGCCTTCCTCCCTCACTAGCAGTGCTTTGATCTTCCCTCAAGGTGTTGTGGCCGAGTTCACTTCTCACTAGGTCTATTCCATCAATAAAGTACTATGTTTTCTGGTGAGAGTCTGGACTGGTTCTAACATTTTGAGCCCTAATTACTCGTGGCAGCCGCAGACCCCCATGGCTGTAATTTGATTGCAACATTCTCCACCGAGGATCATTCGCCATATCACGCAATACTGGTCAAATACTAAATTCAGACCCTTTTTCCGGCCGGTATTCCGTACCCACAAGGATCACCACCAATTGTACAACCTTCACTCATATATCGTATTCAAGTACAAATATCTAGATAAGACGAACATGTTGCCCGAATCCATGATAACTTCGCATGCCAGTTTGTTACGTGTGAACTTATACCCTCTACAGTCCAGCATTAGCGGTGAAAACTTGCTTCAAAATCACGCAAGGAGCAATGACGGCTGAATCTAGCCAGAAAGGGTTGGAGTAAGTGATAATACAATAAATCCAGTATAATGGACTTGTCAGTGTTCACTCTGACTTGAATAGGGTTGTATCTTCGAAAACCGCTGACAGCGAGCTTTCGAGCACTCCCGATGGAGGCCAACCCACTGAGTTTGAGATCCAAACTCTTCGGCGTGTGAGTGACTCGATACCAAAGTCAGCATGGCTTGTATGCGTCATCGAGACAGCCGAACGGTTTACCTATTATGGAATATCTGGGCCACTCCGTAAGCACACTCCACTGACATCGCCAGCACAAAACAGACAAAAGACTGATCATTTACAGAGAACTACATGCAGAACCCGTACGGAAACCCTCTTCGGCCTGGTGCCCTCGGGCTTGGTCAGGCGAACGCAAGCAGCATCTCCTACGGCTTCACGTTCTGGATGTATGTGACTCCTATGGTCGGCGCATGGCTTGCTGATTCCTTCCTTGGACGGTTCCGCACGATCAGCTGGGGTGCGGCTATCTACGTCTGTGGGCTGTTAGTGCTCTTCGTATCATCCTTCCCTTTTTCTCTGGAACGAGGAGGGGGACTGGGTGGTTTCATAGCGTCGTTGTTCCTAATCGGAACCGGTGCCGGCGCAATTAAAGCCAACGTCAGCGTCCTGATCTTTGATCAATACACTGAGACCAAGCAGAAGATTCGCACCCTCAAGTCTGGTGAGAGGGTCATTGTTGATCCGCAGGCGACCATCACCAACATATACATGATCTACTACAACATTCTTTGTATTGGCTGTCTGTCCGGCATCCCTGCTACGTACATCGAGCTTCGGATTGGCTTCTGGGCTACATTCCTCTTGCCGTTCTGCGTTTTTTGGATTGCTATTGCAGCCCTTGCCTTTGGCAGGAAGAAATATGGTACGAACTTGTGTCACTTATCTCAGGAGGACCTATGCTTACATGCAACCCATAGTTAGAAACAAACCGGAGCCTGTGCTCGGCAAAGCTTTCAGCGCCTTTGGCATTGCTGTCCGAAACGGGTTCAACATGGATGCCGCCAAACCATCATACCAGGCACAACACGGTGGCTCAGCCAAGATTACATGGGATGACAGATTTGTCGACGAGCTAAAGCGTGGCTTATACGCATGCAAGGTCTTGTAAGCTCAACCCAACCCTAGAAGATTCGGATGGTCTTGCTAAGTACAGTCAACAGTATTCCTCAGCCAATTTCGTGGCTTTGTTATCTGCAAGCGACCAATAACCTTGTCTCACAAGCGGGCACTATGGTACGTAAATCCGTCCCGTATCCTTGTTCAGGCGGCGCATATTCACTTTACGTTAGGAAACCCACGGGCTCCCCAACGATATCTTATACAACTTCCAACTGATTCTCGAGATTGTGCTTATTCACATTCTACGGACGATTATCTACCCACAGCTCCGCAAATGGCGAGTTCCGCTCGGCCCCGTTCGACGCATTACTGCAGGATTTGTGTTCGGCACCCTGGCTATTGCCTGGGCAGCCATCGTTCAAAAGATCATCTACTCTGCGGGCCCTTGTTACGATGCGCCTCTCAAGTGCGATGCCAGTCAGGGCGGTAAACTTCCGAACCATGTGCATATCATGGTCCAGTTCCCAGCCTACATCCTATTCGCCCTGAATGAGATCTTCTCTGCCATCACCGCCCACGAGTACGCCTACACCAAAGCTCCCAAGAGCATGAAGAGTGTCGTGGGCGCACTGAACTTCATCACCGTCGCTGTGGCCGCGCTGCTAGGCATTGCTGTGTCTAGGGCTGCCAAAGATCCTGGCTTGACAACCATGTATGGTGTGTTAGCTGGGGTGTATTTTGTGGTGACATGTTTGTTCTGGTATTTCTGCCATGGATATGATAAGCTGGAGGACGAATTGTTTGACCTGGATGCCACCAATACTGTTGAGCGAGAGCAACCTTCAAGGCCGACGGATCAATGAGGTTATACGGTGATTGATCAAATACACTTCACATACGACCCACAGGCCATGGGAAGTCGCACTCTACAAATCTTTGACTTATCTACCTAGTTAGAGCAGATAAAAATAAACGTGGTTAGAGCTGTATTCGGATCGTGGTCAGAGAAGTGGCTTTCAAGGTTTAATCGGACGGGACACCAGCACAATCAGACTGTCGAGATTAATCAGTCGGGAAGAGAAAACTTCAAGGTCTCAACAAGAAAACTAGATCCTACAATGTGCTATACTGTTTTTCAAGATATCATGCAGCAGAACTCAGTCTTCATTCTCATCCTGTCTTGTCCACCTAATCTCTAAATAAGTCTATTTAGAACTTCAATATATATATTGTTAGAGATAGAAATTCTCAACCCTAGGGGCCACCAGTGACCTACTGTTTAGGCTGAATCTTACTATTAATCTTATGCTTGCTGCTGAGCCAGAAACGGCTCATCTTCGTTCGCTTGCATGCTGTTCCTCCTAGCGCTAGCAGCCATTGTAGCTCAGTGTAAATTGGCTGTAGTAAGAGTCTTATCCCGGCTAGGCTTGCTCTCCAGGGTGAGCTTTCCGTTCGCCTAGCATGTTGTTAGAATCAAGTAGCCTGCTTAAGAAGAGTAGGAAACGTACAAATACCCAGTTAGGAAACGGCGTGAACGTATGCCGCACTCCATTCAGCTCGAGGACGCCCTCAAATCGACACAGGTGCAATGTACCCCGAGTCGTGTTACATATGAGAGTCCCTGCCATGCGATGCCACGTCAGATTATCAAACAACTGCCTGATATCCAGCGTGTCGAGGCGCAGCTTCTTCGTCAGCATGAGCAGCTCCAGCCAGGATACGAGAAACTCCTTGTCACTCTCGTACGTAGATCGGTACCCATGTTTCTCCAGCGTCGTGCGAACCCCGTTCGTGAGCATCTCATCCACGTGTTTCAGATACTCCTTGATGTCTGGGAACAGATCAATTCCACCATCGCAGGTAAGAGCGTATTCGGCGACCTCGTAGAGGATCCACAGGCGCGGCTCGAAGGGCGGGTAGAACCAGGTGAAGGCTGCGTTCCGGATGATGGCCGACATGGTCTGCAGCGTGCTAGCAAAGTATACCTCCTCCGCTGGTGTCCGGGGAGATTGGGGCGTGCACGTCCAGTCTACCCAAATGTAGTTCCAGCTCTGCGGCCCGAGTGATTCTTGATGCAGGCGAAGAGATACCCCCTCGGGGTCTGGATCATCTTTTGAGTGCCAAAAGTGGCTGACGAAGAAACATGTGTCGCGAGAGACGTAGCCGTTAGCGGCAGGTAGAAGTATGTAGTCGTCCAGCCTGTCTCTGCTCCATTTTGTCATTGTACCTTGCCTTAGAAACGCTTCCCTTTTCTGGAAGAACCAAAACATAAAGCCAAATGTTTGACCCTCCAGGAACTCATCCAGGCTAGTGCATTTCTCCAAGATGCCTTTCAATAGTGCATTGAGAGGGAGCGGTTTCCAGGCCTCGATGCTGTGGCGTACGAGTGACTTCCATGCAGATGAGGGGTCACTGGACGGTTCCATGTTTCGTTTTTTTTTTTTTTTTTTGAATAGAGGACGTCGACGATGCCGGCGTGGCGAGAGAAACTGTCCGACACTGAGCGCTTGCTCCGACAATCAAGGCGGGGAATCGGATTGATTTTATAGAATGAGTAAGAGGGTGAGTGAGACGGCCGCTTAGTGGGCTGCATAAGCTTACAGCACAGATGTGCATATGTATATTAATTAATATGTGATGCTACTCTCTTGAGAGGCGAATGCAACTCAGCCCATGCGAACCACTGGTACAGTAGCACTCCAAAGCGGAAGGCAACTATCTACCCTGACCAGTCCAATCATCATACAGAACAACGAGTGTATAGTAAGATGAGTATTTACTCAGTCAAGGGTATTACCGAAACTCTTGCTTCACGTCCCTGCTGTACAGTATATCGACCTCTAAGACACTATCCACTTCGCCGCCCCTGTTCGAGCGTCTGGTAACAAGCGTTACGAAGGTTGTCTACGGAGGTAACACTTTTTTTCGACGCAGTTATCAAAGGTCTTTTGCCCACGCTCTGCTCCGAGATGGCATGAACAATCACAATCACCAACATACGAAGGTTATTGTGAATAGCCTTTCAAAACGCAAGGAGCAACATACCTCTCCAGATACTTGGCACGGCAACGACTGTATTTAACCTTATGTCTCGTTTACTCCAAATTTCAAATTGAAATGTTTTACCAACAACAAAGGTTTGTCCATCTTGCTCAGATTTCCCAGTAAATTCCGAGGCTATCAACCACCTGCCTCAATCTGCTTTACCATAACCACCACCTCCTGGACTCCCTGTAGGCATCTGTGGTTAGCACATTTACCTCCACATCCTTGACCACGAGAGAATTGCCATGAGACTTACGAATAATGATCCTGTCGCCCTTTTTCATGTTACATGTGTTTCTCGGCCCGAGCATCACCTCCCGCGTGCCGAACTCGTCATGTCGCACCCATATATTCTCTCCTCTCTTGCCGGGGCCACCCCCTTGGATGCCGGGAGGAGGAATGGTACGGCGCTCGGATAGGACGGACACTTCGACCTCGCGGCGGAACTCGATGTCGCGAATGCACCCGTCGCCGCCGGGGTACTTTCCAGAACCACCAGAGCCCCGTCGGATGGAGAACTCGTGCAGAATACATGGGTAGCGCTTCTCGAGAGACTCGGGGTCGGTGATGCGGGTGTTGGTCATGTGGACGTGTACGCCAGACTGGCCGACCCAATTGGGGCCAGCCCCTGAGCCGCCAGCAATCGTCTGTTCCACGGTTAATATATGTCAAGATCAGTATGGCAGCATTACTTACCTCGTAGTAGCCGAAGCCGGGTTTTACCTTGCCGTCGACGACTTCGCCGCCGTACCCAAAGGTCAGGTTGTTACACGTGCCCTGGCTGGCGGCGGCGGCCTGGAAAGCCTGGAGAACGAGGTCGGTGACGCGCTGGGAGGTGTCGGTGTTGCCTCCAACGGTAGCCGCTCCCGCCGAGGGCGAGAGAAAGGTTCCATTGGGAAGGATGACATTAATAGGCGCGAGGCAACCCTGGTTAAGCGGGATGTCCTCGTTGACGAGCGACCGAAGCACATATATGATGGCGCTGAAAGTGATGGCCCTGGGCGCGTTGAGGTTGCCATAAGTCTCGCCGGTGGTGCCTGTGAAGTCAAAGGTCGCGGAGCCGGCGTCGCGATCGATGCTGACCTTGAGACACATGGTGCTGCCGTCGTCGAGGTAGTCGACCGCCTCGAGCGGCAGGCCGTAGAACTCATCGTACACTCTTCGCAGCAAGTTGCGGACGACCTTTTCGGCATTGTGCTGAATGCCAACCATATACTTCTGTACTGTGGGGAGACCGTACTCCCGGATGCACTCCTGGATAAGTCGTATACCCTTGAGGTTGGCGGCTGCTTGAGCCTTGAGATCGCTGACATTGTCGTTCCATGTACGCGTGCCTGTACAACCGGGGTACGAAGCGGGCTTGGTAAGCATAATCTCGCTGAGCTCCTCCTCGTTCCATCGTCCCTGGTCGATAAGCTTAAAGGAGGTGAAGGAGGCGCCCTCCTGCCAGATCTCCTTGGAGTCGGGGGGCATCGAGCCAGCCCGGATGCCGCCAATGTCGGCATGATGCGCCCGCGAGGCGACCCAGAACAGCACCTCGTTGGTGGCCTCATCAATGACGGGGGTAATGACGTTGATGTCAGGGAGATGCGAGCCACCTGCGATCGGGTGGTTCGAGACGAGCACGTCTCCGGGTCGAAGGCGGTTGCCCCATTTCTCGGCCTGGTAGGAGACGGCGAAGCTCATGGCGCCGAGGTGGCACGGGATATGCGGGGCGTTGGCCACGAGGCCGCCCCGGGAGGAGAAGATGGCGCACGAGTAGTCAAGACGCTCCTTTATGTTGATGGAGACGGAGGTTTTCTGGGATGGATGTTAGAAGATATAGCACATAGTGAGCGAGTATTCAAAGTGTGGTAACGTACTTGGAGAGATTTACCCATTTGCTCTGCTATGCTCATGAAACGGTGGCCAAACACGGAGAGTTGAACGGGGTCAACCTTGTCGTCTGCCTCTTCTATCTTGCTACCGCCCGAGCTCGGCTCAGGTTGTCCCTTGTCGAGGAGGAGATGGCGCGAGAGGACGGTAGCTATCCACTTTGGCTGGACGAGGATTGTTTGCGTCTGATCGAGGATGACAGCCGGCCCAGTGATGCAGTCGCCGGAGCTAAGGTCGTCAAGTTTGTACAGCGGCACGTCATGCCAGCCCCCAGCCGTGTAGAGCCTCGTCTTCTTGGCGCTCTTGGATGGGGACAGATTCTTGGTGGTGACAGCAGCCAGCGCCTGCGATATGCTCTGGAATTTGTTGCCGGTCGTCTTTCCAACGACGCGAACGCGAATATCATCTACAAGAATCTCGCGGTCAAGGGTGAAGCCGAACTCGTCGCGATGTTGCTGCGTGAACACACTAGCAAAATCCCACGAGCTAACGGGCTTGCGGACCATTAGAGAGCTATTGGTGCCCTTGTAGCGGAGGTTGAGGAACAGCTCGTGCCGGATGTCCTCGTCCGTGAACCCCTGAGATGCGAGCACAGCGCCTCCCTCCTCCACGAGCGGGCGAAACTTGGCCTCAAGACCGGCCTCGGCCATGTGAGATAGTGTGTCGGTACGCGGCTGCTGAACCTCGTGTGTCAGGTCGCCGAGGGCGATGCCGTACGCCGACAGGATAGACGAGAAGCGGTGGATGGCGCTCCTGGTGATGCCCAGTGCTTCAGCCACGTCGCAGGCATGTTGTCCTCCAGCGCCGCCAAAGGTGACGAGCGTGTGGTCGGCGGTGCGAATTCCTCGCCCTTCGGTCAGAGAGCGGATCGGCCTACTCATGCCCTCGTTGGCGACACGAAGGAAACCGCTGGCAACCTCCTCGGGCGTCAATGACATCTTCTCCTCGGCGTTGATCTTGGCAGTCATTTCGTCGAAAGCCTTGACCGTGGCATTGTAGTCGAGTGGTTCATCTTCGTTGGGGCCGAAAATTGAGGGGAAGTACTCGGGGAGCAGACGACCGAGGAAGAGGTTGGCGTCTGTCACGGTGAGAGGGCCTCCTTTGCGGTAGCAGACGGGGCCAGGGTGTGCACCGGCGGACTATAAACAGTTTCAGTGTGTCAGAACTGGGTTCGTAGTAATCAAGGCCGATGTAAACATAGCTTACATCAGGACCGATGGCAAACAGGCCGTTCTTCCAATGCAGAATACTACCACCACCCGCTGCCACCGTATTGATGTCCAACTGCGGCACCTGCAGCGTGACCTCGGCCGTCTCCGTCTCGAAGACGTGTTCGTAGGTCCCTGAGAAGCGGCTGACGTCGGTCGACGTGCCTCCCATATCGAAGCCCAGCAGCGGGTGCCTCGTCTCCTCATCGAAGCAGGACTGCGCGTAGCCAATGACGCCCCCCGCAGGACCTGACAGAATAGCGCGCAGGCCTGAGAACTTGTGCCAGAGACACAAGCCTCCGTCGCTTTGCATGAACAGCAGCTTGTCAGCGATGGCCTCGAGGCCGCCCTTGAAGCCCGTGCCGAAGTTGGCGACGTATCGCTTGATGAGCGGAGAAAGGTATGCGTCTGCGGCGGCCGAATTACCCCTGGGAACCATTTTGATCTGCTCATCTGTCAGTCTTTTGCCACTGGTGGACGGGATGTTGATGGGAACGGGATAGTTTTGGTGAACGCACTGTAGGTTGGAGCTCTGATGATACAGACACGTCGAATCCCATGTCTCGAGCGAGCTTAGCCACCTGATCCTCGTGCTTGGTGTACAAATACGAGTGCATGAAGCACACGGCGAGGCTACTGAAGCCCTCTGCCTTCAGCGCCTCGAGCTGACGTTGAATCTCCTCTATATTCGGCGTCTTGATAATGCGAACGACCTCGCCCGTTACGCCCTCGACCAGCGCATCATCCTGGCTAATATCAATCGGTTGCTTCTCCGGGTTCTCGAGGAACTCCTCCATGGTCACGCGCTCCTCCACCTCCACCACCTTATCGTACAAATTCTGGAGCTTCTGCACTGACAGATCGAAAATGTGCGGCCGCGCCTGGTTTCCGATCAGCAGCAAGTCCCTGAAGCCCCTGGTGGTTAGAAGGGCGACGCGCTCGCCCTGGCGCTCAAGGAGGGCATTAGTGGCGATGGTGGTACCCATGCGGATGGACTCGATGTCATGTGTGTCGATGAGCTCGTCACGTGGAATTGTGGTGTTTCTGAATTTTGAGAGGGCGCGGCGGATGCCCTCGGTCGGGGCGTCCTTGTAGTTGCGAGGGTCGACCGAGAGGAGCTTGAAGACTTGCTCGTGATCTGAGCCGGGGACGTAGGCGTGAACATCGGTGAATGTGCCGCCTCGATCTATGTTGCCGTGTCAGAGCGAAGGGTCTGCTTCATCAATGCCGGAGTAGCCTTACCTATGGCGATTCTCAGCTTTAGCTGATTTTCAGGAGTTGAGCCCATGATTGCGACGAATAGCGTTGGCCTGTCTGTGCCTGTTTCCCTTGATGAATCTGGAACGGCAAAGCGCTTTGACTCTTCGATATCCAGCTTCTCACGCTCGTCCCGCTCTTATAAAACGTGTTGCTGAAGGAGATGATAGTATAGAAAACTTACCTCCTCCCCACGATCGACAACTCCGAGCCTCGCAAGCAGATCCGAACCTGCTGGTCCGAGTTATCAACGGCCCTACACACAGAAAGTCTATCGCCCGGCCCCACACGCCGAACTGGTTGAACTACGACCTCGGTCCCGAGCACCGAAGTCGAGAATGCTAGTTTGGGCAATCCTCTACCACAATCAGTCATAGCAAAAATGGACATTGTGGATCTCTATTTGGCCCTATGAAGTCCTATCGTTGTCTGGTCTGCTCGGTTTGACTCTCCGCTATCACCAATCTCCTGGCAAGCGCTGGCGAGGAAGATCCTTGCTTCCCCAATCACCCACCTGATTGTCAACCTCTAGCTTTGCACCGACAACACGATAACCAGGGCTTGTGATCCTGGGGGAAGTTGCTAACGCGTCATCTCCCCACATGCCAGTCTGCCTGTGTCTGTGGATATATAACACCCCACGGTCTGAAGAACCAGTACGCTCTTCAGTCCTCTTGACACTACGCTTGCATCCAAAACCCGTTATCAATCATGCACAAAGACACAACCATGGATGTGAAAGACAACTTGACCACAGATGTTGGTATCGACAACCAGGACGGCGAGATGCAAAACCTGCCTCGGGCTGATCCCGCCCTGGAGCGAAAGGTCTTGGCCAAGCTAGACATCTTCCTCACCCCAGTGCTCTTCATTGTATACCTATCCTGCTTCATCGACAGAGCCAATATCGGTACAAACCTTGATCACTTGAACTTTTGTCCCGTTTGACTAACAGACGGCAGGAAATGTCAAGGTCGCTGGCATGCCCGAGGACATCGGTGCTTCCGAGGCGCAGTATTCTCTCGCCGTGTCAATCTTCTTCGTCACCTACATCATCGTCGAAGTACCCTGCGTCATCCTCGTCAAGAGATTCTCGCCACGCTACATCCTCACGGCCTTGTGCATCATCTGGACGGCCGCTACCATCGCCAACGGCTTCATCGTCAACGTGGGCGGGCTATACGCGTGTCGGCTCGCTCTTGGTGCCGCAGAGGGCGGTCTCTTCCCGTCGCTCAACATGTACCTTACGCTTGTGTACAAGAGAGACGAGATGGCGAGGAGGGTGTCGTACCTGGTGTCTTGCACGGCGTTGTCGGGAGCGGTTGGCGGCTTGCTTGCCTACGGGCTACTACAAATGGACGGTGTGGCTGGAATTCCCGGATGGAGGTATGATGAATCCCAACTCACCGACTAATCAGGTTCTGATAAAATTGGTATAGATGGGTGTACATCATCGAGGGGGCCTTTAGTATTGTTTGCGCGCTCGCTATCTGGTTCGGCCTTCCAAGCGACGTCCGCAAGGCATACTTCCTCAACAAGCAGGAGCGCGAGGTCATGGAAATCCGACACGAGGAGCGCATGTCGTACATGGGCAAGGACGAGTTCTCCTGGGAAGAAATTCGACTGGCGTTCACGGACCCCAAAGTCTGGCTCTGGTAGGTGCTTCCGATAGCGATGCACGAGAAACCTGTTGTGACTAACAGGAGAATGGCAGTGCTGGGACTCAGTTCTGCCAGAACATCCTCACCAACGGCTTTGGCACTTTCCTGCCAGCGATTCTTAGGGCTATGGGTCATGGTAGGCTAGCCTCCAACTACCTCACGATTCCGGTGTATGTATTGGGTGCCATTGGGTTCTTCACATTTGCTTGGCTTTCCGACCGATACAAAAAGTGTGGTCCTGTAAGTGCCCTTCTCCAAAGAGATGCCCAGTACCGAGAGAGGAGATGTAAGCGTTAGTGTAGGTGCTGATATAGCTGGCCAGTTTATACTCGGCACCAATTTCTTCGGCATGATCGGGTACATCATCCTCATAGCCTCTAGCAACAACGCGGTCAAGTATTTTGCCTGCTTCGTGTGCACCATTGCCGTCTACAACGGCACGGGCCTGAACCTAGCATGGCTCAACGTCAACATGGCGCCTCAGTATCGCCGCGCCACTGCTATCGGCATCCAACAGACTATCGGGAATGCCGCGGGCATCGTGGCTGGCCAGGTCTACAGGGAGTCGCCGTACATGCTGGGACACGGCTTCTCCCTGGGGGCCATTGCCGTCGCCAATACGCTGGTGGGGATTCACCTTTGGCTGCTTCTGCGCATGAACAAGGAGAAGCGCCAGATACTGGCCGGCGAGAAGGAGGACACGCGAAAGAAGACAACGGGCGATCGAGACATTAACTTTGTCTACCGCGCGTAACATTAGGTCTGGTCGTGGCCTGTTGCCCAATCGTTGTCTGCGTTGCGGCGGAGAGAGATGTGGGAATGGGCCAGCTTCTGGTACTTTGTAACACTCTAGGTACTTCCAAAGGGGACTCCAACTAGTTGTACGAGTGTTTGGCAATTCGGGAGACGGTGGTCAACATATAGAAATTCCAAGCGCCTCAACTTGGTGTCGTTGAGGCTGCGAACACTGTCAATTGTTTCATCGGACTCACTTGCATATGTCAATTACAGTATTCACTTAAGAAAATACAATATTCACTCAAGAAAGGAGACAATCCTTTTGTAGATAACTTCGCTTGGGACGCACTGTCATGACATTGGTAATCTTTACTACTACGCCAACTCCATCTACACAGCCTTACCAAATCATCCACCACCTAGTCCGTTACCAACACATAGCCTGCATCGTGGGTCATGGCGACTTCATTGATCCAGTCAACGACTGCCTCGACAGCGACTTGAGGCGTCACAAGGCAGGCCTACGATCATTCCTTAGTACAAGTAACCAGTCCATGTGTGACTCAAGGATAGGCTAGAGAAGATGAACTTGGCCTACCAAACAGACAGGAACATGGCTATCCTTGATCGTCGGCTTATCGCCGAACTTAACGCTGTTGATGTCGCTGACTCCTCCCTCTCAGCCCCGGGCGACTGACGCGCGTGCATGGCTACCTAGGAAGATACGGACAAGTGATGTTTCGACTCCTCCTTACCTCGTTCTCCTTGAATATCCCGCACGCTGACGACACAAGTAGAAACATAAAGACGACAGCTGTCAAAAGAGGGATACTTGTGATATACATGGCTAGACTGTTGCCCATTCTCGTGGCAGATCCTCAGACCATCTTCCTTCGGAGCCGCCTTGAAATAAGGAGCAGCCAATCAGAAAGGCGACGTAATCGTCAGTGAGCTCATCGAGTCAGTCTTGATGCAACAACCTCGACGCTAACCTGAGTGCGGTATCAAGGTAGATCGATTTGGTCGTCGAAGTCGGGCGTGTGGATGTAGCCTCGGGGGTAGACACACGTGGGGTCCCCGGGCTCGGTCCAGCTGAGTATGGGGCATAACACTAGGTCCCGAGTGCAGAGACTCTTGAAGTGCGAACCAGGTTGGTTTGGGGGTCTCGGCCTATGCGGCCGATGGTGTCCTTGATAAGGTTCTGGCGGCGGAGGAGCCTAGTTTGGTGTGCTGGGTTGGTAGCTATTGGGAGATACGTTACTAGTAAGCCCCAACGCCATGTAGTCTACTAAACAAAGCAAGAAGGATTGGGATTGAATTGAGTTTGTCTTTTGCATGGCGCTCGGTACATATGATCACTGGAGGTCGGGGTGGTAGACCGAGCAGTCGGCGCTACACCCAAAGCTTCTGCGAGTATGCTATTCTAGAAATGATTACCGACACTATTTGTGAATCGAAACATATGCTCTACGTGGTATATCCCTCTCTCTAACACTAATGATTTCTCCTAATTATTTACAAGGGAGCAGGAGCAACACCATCCGGCTTCACAACAACATAATCCTCAATCAAAGCACTGCCATTCGCCAACGCTGCCAACTGCTCCTTTGTACAAGAAGTAGGTGCTTGCATCAAATAGCAGGTGTTCTTCACCGGTTCAGGCACTTCATTTTTCACGTCCCTGACCTGATCTGGTCCCTTTGTCGAGTAGCCACCTCCCACTTCCCCGAGTTTCACCTTGCCTGTAGCCACATCCTTCCCAAACATGACACGATCGAACAGTTTGGAGAGAGTCTCAGGCTGATATCCACCTACACCGTGACCAGCTTGGAAGATGCGAGAAAAGGAGAGTGGACCGTGTTCTCGAACGAAACCACCTTGGTAGGAGCAGTTTGTTGTGATAGGTTCGTATCCAGCGGAGCGGAATCCATTAGCGGAGGCAAAGTCCAGAGACAGACTGACATTTTCACCTCCGAACCCTGTTCACGCAATGCAATCAGTACTTAATCCTCCTTGTGTAAACAGTGGGTTATGAACTTACAGTTGCAGCGATAGTCTCTATCTCCATAAATCATAGCAACGTTGACACCACTCTCCATCACTCTCTCAAGAGAATGCAGTGATCTTCTCATAGGATCACCAGTCTGCAACATGAATGCCAAATTTGTCTTTGCCGAACTAATCGTAAAGTTCAACGGCACACCAAGTTCCTCTTGCACCCAACGATTATTGAAAAACGCATCTTGGTAGGGCTTAGGGAAGATGGTAATATTGGAATGTGTTACATCAAAAGGAGATCGCTAAAACGTTTATTAGCAATATGTAAATTTTGCATATTTAGGAATGAGAGAACGTACATCGCTTGCCTGTGAATAAGCAGCTTGAATGCCAAAGAAACAAGTCTTTGACGCAGCCACACATGCCTCATTGACTGTTTTATTGGATCCATAGCTAAGAGGATCACCTTGCTTGGCAAGCTCTCTGCATTGATCGATCAAGGCGTAGCACCCCTTTTCAGGTTCAACAATGGCAGCCATGGCTTTTTCGTAGACTTCTTCGGGGTAGACCTGAAGCCCGAAGGTATTGTTGTATGCAAAGGTCGGGTAACCCATTGCCATGGCACGGGTGTCGATACAAGCGTCTCCGAGGCCGAGAGTGGCTAGGTTGATGGCAGTGGCGTTGGCGAGTGCGCCTGTTTCGTTGTTTTTGATGAGGTCGTTTTGGTCTTGGAAGTACTCGAATGTGCCTGGTCCGTAGAATCCACCGTACTAGAATATTATCAGCAAACATTCCTTTCGAGTAGTGTATGTTCTGGTCTATGCTTACGGATACAGCCCAAACAGAGAGTTCGTCATTGTTTGTTCGTTGTTCCGGGAAGCTATAACCTGTTAGTTCTACATTTCAGGAATGGACTTGGCCTGTTTGGCTTACTCGTTCAGCCAAACTTGAGAAAATGCCCAGAGGGTTCTAGCAGCACTGGCGGTGTTGTTGATAATCGTCGCAGGTTTTCCTTCATTGAAAGTAGCCTGTCGGAATGTGGCATTGAGCTCTGGCAGAGAGTCACCTTCCTTCAAGGGCGTGAATTCCTTGGTGAGAAGGTTGCTCACACCGTTGGCCAGCGATACATATGAGAAGCCAGTATCAAGAGGCTGGTCAATGTACAGCATGTTAACATGGTTGTTCCATGAGAACTTGTTCAATGTAGTCGAGTTGGCATCGGGGTTGAAACGGCATGGGAAGTCGGACATTCCATCAAAGGAGGTTGTTCCGGGGCCACCTCCGAGGTAGATGGATGTTGGTGCGTTTTCAGGGTCATTTCGGGCCTCTATTAAACACCATAAGCTAATAATTCTCATCTTTTGAGTCGAAGAGTGATGTGTAACATACCGAAATACCAGAAAAACATGTGAGCTGCAGCTCCATCTTGCCATTCACTAGCAATAGGGTGAAGAAGTTCCTTGGGTATTTTGACGTATCCGGAGTAGGAGTTGACTCCCTCTGTAGTCTCGCAAATACTTGTCTACAGTATTTTAGTTAGTGGCAGCGTAAGAGAAAGTTGGTGTTGGAGATGAACCTTTTTGAAAGACACTTCAGCTCCCTCAAACAGTTCCGATCGAACGACTGTTGTCCCTTTTGGTGCGGGAGGAAATGCCTGAGCGGCAGCACTTCCCAACAAAGGAAGAAGAGGTAGAATGGAACGCATAACAAATATCACGAGAAGAATTGTTGTATGATTCTGATGAGCAGAGTTAGATGTCCAATGTCGAGATATTCGAAGAAGATGTTATCTTATGTATTTTCCCTCTAAAGCTCAGCCATGGCAGTACAGGACAGGCCAGTGGATCATCACTGGCAAAAATTGCGATTGAGCCTATCATTTGGCCCATCAAGGTCCCGGTAAATTTAAATCTGGAGTTTCTTCAGGGGCTTCCATGTTACAGCCCATCTTAACTCGATTAGATCGTGGCAATTATTATTAGTAACGAGAGACGACCAGCTGTGACACAACTGACAAGGGTGGCTATGCTTAGTTGAATGCTCGGTGGATCATGGTCATGGTCAAAATAGCGAGCTAGCCAATGAAGTGTCTAGAAATTGAGCAGATCTACCAATGTTTGACGCTTTGGCGAACTCTTGGCATTTCTTCCTTGTCGACGTAAGGATTGATGAGGCAGAATGATGATATGCGCCACATCCATATACCTAGTATACTAAGGATAGACAGGCTAGACATGAATATCGTCCTTAATGGAATCTCGCGAATTATAGATAGGCTAAAAGTCTTTCGGAAGGTCAACGGCCCATCAGACTCGATCAGTATACAGTGTAAACGAATCTTTCAGCATCGAGGCCCGATGTCACCAATCCACCACTACTGGAAACATAGCTTTGGTTAAAATTGTTTCATTAATCTTCTACTTTTTATATTTATGATTTTGCCCACTAAAGTAACTAAAACGTCACCGTCAATGATTTCATCGCAACCAAAGGCTTCTCGGGATCAAATCCACTCATGACAAGCTGCAAATTCAACTCCCTCGAGTCAAGTTGATTCGCCATCATGACAGTACTGACTCTTTGCTTCTCTGGGATGCGATCGATACCATTCCAGGAATAGCATGTAGATGGTGAAAAGTCCGCCAAAGACCAAGCTCTCCACGGAATAGACAATGAATCAGTCTGCACTCTCTTCTTCAAAATATGATTTTCACACAGAGAACCAATACTCTCATATCCCTCTCTCAGTCCCTCCTCTTCCACATACATAAGACTGGAAATAGCTACAGCAGCACCATCACTCCTCCACATGCCTTCGTGGCGATTCATTCTTTTCATGAGATTTAGAATATGGCGCCTCAACGCAGGATGTCTACATCTTTTGGCAGCATCAAATAGAGGCAGTACTACCGCAGGCTCAAGACTGAGTTGAAGAGATTCCGCTTCGTTGGCGTTATTTCCTCCTCTTCTCTCGACAAAAATGTGTACAAGTGTCGCGATGAGTTGAAAGTATCCCAAGCAGTCGTCGTGCCGCACTTCCGGTCCAGATAGCTTTGTTCTAAATATGAATCGTAGCCAGGCATGATAGACTCGAATAGAAATGGCTGCATGCTCGTCTAGGAAATCATGACGACGGGCTTCAAACTTGGTCATCATGCGTTCAAAGTGCTCCAGATCCAGTCGCACTTGATCATTAACAGCACGATAGCTCACGTCGTCCATGCCGCCGTCCCAGTAATTTCGATCATTAACCATGAGCTGCCGTATAATATCGAATAATGTAGATGCAGCTTGGGAATAAGAATGAAATAGACCGTCACCTAACACCTGGTTGATTCCTCGTACGGCGGCTGACTGGGCGAAAGGATACGGTGAGGCGGAATCACTCAAAGTAAATGATTGCATGTCCATCCGTGTCAATGTCGCGGCAATCCGTTTCTCCACATCATCAAATGCCGATGACTGGGCCTCAGCCATTATCCGAAAACTGGACAGGATGTGCATGTGAGACTCGGACCAAAGACCAAGCATATTGGCTGCAGCGATGAGGGGCAGACCCAAGGCGAGCACTTTGTTACGTGAATCCAAAGTACTGGCCAACGCCATAGCCTTGCCGTAGTGGACGGTCGCATGGCGAATCAAGGTGTCCATTTCCTCCCCTGGAGAATTGAGCTCCCATCTCCGATGTAGGGCTCCAACAGCGAGGGTCGCGTGCCACATGGCAGGTTCGTCATGCGCAAGCTGTAAAAGATCCTGACCCCAGAACATAGAAGGGATGAACGCGTCTGTGTTAGGTGCTGTAGCGCGGCGAAAATGGTCAAAGTATTTGACGTCTTGAGGTGATGATGACGCCGAAGATGATGCTTGTTGGCCTGTGAACGGTGGGCTGGGTCCAGGCAATAAAGGCAGGCATTTGTCATTGGCAGCCAGGACCTCTGAGGCTGGTCCGACAATGGAAGAATTGCTCAGAGCGTCCAGTAGTTGGCGACGCGACATCTTTTTGTCAGGGGAGAGATAGCCATCGCATGTTCTTTTGGCGGATTGACATCGAAGACATTGAGGTTTGGTTTCGTCGCATTTGACGCGACGGATTCTAATGGCTTCAGTGATGAGTGGGAAACTTGGGCTTTTCTAGGTCTCACTCACCTGCAGGAGATGCAACCGGTCTTGGTTCGTGTAATCATTAGTCAATTTGGTATTTTCAGTGGTCTTGATGTTTTTTTCCTTCAGATGGAAAGATGAGGATTCGATCAGCATTTACGTCGTCAGTCCGTACCTTTTTACAATCTCTAGGTGCACTCTCCGTATAAATAAATTACCTAATACAGGACGTGAATTATTATTGTAGCGCTCCACCATCATCAGCCCTGCAACTTATATTAAGCGCTGATATATGAAAGTTATGCAATCCTTCTAGAGATATCTAAAAATAGATAGTCTCGGCTACCACTCGCTACCCTATACCCTTGATTGGGGTTGTTTTCTGCACCACATTATTGTTCTATATTTAAGTTTGTTTCTTAAATAATATATATGTATGTTTTCTCGATAGGAATAATGTTTTAAATTTTGTCTCTAGTAGGTGTCATCACTCGCTTTATATTTCATATTCGGTCGTGAAGTGGTCAAATGAGAGTATAAAATGAGTTTCTCTCTAACAGTAGGAAACCTCAATGTTGCTCGCAACAGAGAAGAATTAGGGCATCGTCCCCACCCTCTTCGTTAAAAGAGTCAGAAAATCGCACATGTATCTCGAATGGGATCAATTTCCTTGGGAACTGGTAGGATAAGTCATGTCTACGCGCGCGATGTTCTTAATGTGCTATCGCCATGTTTACCTTCGAAGCATTGGTGGATCCACTTTTAAGAGGAGCTGGGGATCTATTTTGGTTCACTTCTATGGGTTTTCATTGGCCAGGACTGACCAACACGCAAAACAACGCGGTCAGAGGTTAACGCCGAATTCGGGCAAGCCTCGACGGTCTCAACAAATAACGGTCGTGTTTCGGAAGTCCGTCCTTGAGCAAAGGTAAGGACAGCCTGGAGGCTGCGACGAAGTGCCCAACGCATCACTTCTGAGCAAATAGGCTGGCCACTCGCTAGGCCTAGGCGTCCACGTTAGGGGCTATTTAACCGTCAACAAAACAGGTAGAGCTAGTTGCGGATGACGACCATCGAGACGGACCAGCATCAACTCGACCTAGACGTTGGAAATTCAGAGCGCGCCAAATTCCTCAAACATGAATCGAAACGTATCTTGTGTGCTTTGCGGCGCTCCAATCACTGAGCCTGAGGCCGAGGATGCATCACACAGGTGGATGAGCTCTTTTCGCGCACGTAAATATTATCAACACATCTATCAAAGACCTTGATAGATGTATAGTCGCCCCCTAATCTTACTACTTGAGATTACTGATCAGGTACCTAGTGTACACGGTCTGGGAAAATTGGTCCCAACCGCGAATGTCGGGTGTCGGGCGATGCAGCTGGCGTAATGTGATTCCGCTAGATGAAGCCGTGGCAAGACAAGCTCCATCGGCCATCGTCGACCAAGTGTGGATGAAGGTGAACCTCTTGATGCACCATTTCGACCCGGCGCTTCATGTTGAGTGGAACCCACAGACCGTTTGGGGGTTTCCGCTCCATGATTGTTGCTGGCATCTGCTCCGTTTAAACGACCCTGAGGTCCCGGAGTATGTAGTAGTCCGGAGTCTCTTTGACCTTTGCAGGTCTCAACCGATTCAGCAGCATAAAAAAATGGACTGGGGTCATGATTATGCAGGCTTGCTGCCGTATGAACTGGCACCAACAGCCGTTTGTCCAGGCGAATCCGCCATTCTGAGGGGAAGGTCCTTGATTGGTGGGACCTACTTGCCTGACCCTATCAACATACGAGAGCTCCAGCCGATTCTCGATCAGGAGGGTTTGGAGTTGACCTCCGAGCACCGTGGCCAGTTGGTATCTTCCAAGATCAGCCAAGATCCTTTCGCGATATTCCCGCATGAGATCCTCGATGAAATCTTGACCGACCTCGATTCGGCGGATGTTGTCTCTTTATTGATCGCCTCCAGAATGTTCGCTAGTTCAGGGCTGCCGGGAAAATTCTGGCACTCACGTTTCTGGCCCGGCAAGGAGTTCTCTCACATTTTTGAACTTTGCGGACAACGATCGTCCGCACCCAGAAACTGGCGCCGGACATATGAGCGAGTCAAAGCAATCAACGATAATTCGGCTTTAGAGAACCGAAGACGCATCTGGAGCCTGGCTTCTAAGCTAAATACGCTGATACGCGCTCGGGCACAGCTGAAAGATTGTCAAGGTATCCCCATCGCGCCAAGCGAGGGATGTGAGAGTAGAGAACCATACCACTGGAACCAGCACATGGGAAGTGTGTCCTCTTTCTACAACTACTTTACTCGAGGCTCAAGGGCGCTCTATTATAGAAAGTCCCTTCTAGAAGGATGGATCAAGAAGATCACTATTTCAGTCAACCATCTCAATGGAAGGACTTATATCTGTGGACTCTCCTTTGTTCACCAGCAAGGGAATACGAGCATCGGCTACCACCCCGTTGGCCGAAGCGGTCAACAGATCGATTTCTGCAACTCATCGCCCTGCCGATACTCTATCTCAAGTTTTGAGATTGCTCGGGACCCGCGAGGAATTCGAGGGATAAGAATACTGTCAAATGAAGATGGCTGGTCAGGATGGATCGGGGACCATGTCGATCTGCCCAAAAAAATAATCTCGTGCGAACGGTCGTATGAAGGGTCCGTTGAGCCAACAATTACTATTATTGCAGGGTTTGACGCAAGTTCTTGCTTCCTCATTATTCTCTTTTGAGCCAAGACGATCAACGGCTGACTTCTTTCCAGGCAATGAATATGGTCGTGTTGAGGACAGATGGAGCAGGAACCGCACGATTACGTGAAACCAGGTTATGGTATCCAGAGATTCCGGATCCTTGCCTCCATCTTATAGGAGCTGAGCATGAGAGGCTTATGGAGTACAGGGGAGCCCTTCCACACTCTGTATGCATGTTCGGGGGGCCAGATGGAGCATGGCTTCCTCATCTCACGGAAGTAATTGTATGGGGCATCGATCGGTCTTCTCTTGGTGAAACGGGCAACAACACTCTGGTATTCGGAATCGAATTCAAATATAACAAGGGAGTCGATGATGGCCGAGATTCAGTAATACTTGGGTATACCTATGCGGCACACATGGCCACACCTTATTCAAGTGCACATCGTATCTTGATCGACTCGGCAGGTGGTGAGCGCATCACTGGGGTTGACGTCATGTACCAAGACCCAGATCAAATGGCTGGTTTCATTGTAAGTCGTTTCCAAACTACATGGTACCAGTCGCTAACTCTTGTGCTAGGTTTACACATCTTCAGGCCGAAGAAGGGAATTTCCACCTCATTGTAAGCATTACATGCAAGTGGATGCTGAAGAGGACGGGTGCGATTCCTTTTCCGAGGAGCTTCGACCACCATCGGAGACTTGTATAGTAGGATTGTATTCCACTCTCGTAAGTCATTTGACCTGCTTGGCTGACATGACAATTAAAATGCTAAACTTGTAGGAACACAACGAGATCGGGGTAACAGGCAGTTATGACAAGACACTAATGGACTTGGGATTGATTTGTGCAAAGAAAGTATGATGTTTGGAAAAGAAAAGCCCCAAGATCATGACGACTCATTCGACAGAGCAAAGGCCCCATGGTTCTTGCGGTCGCGCCTTCTGCCCCCCGGTATATCCCGCAATCTGAAGAAAAGGTACTTACACCTACACACACATACAAATTACCCGTCTGCCCGCGCCGGGACGTCTCCCCGGAACGTCTCTAGGATCTTGCCACGTATGCAGCCCTCAGGGATCGCAAATTTTACCAAGGGAGATGGATGAGGGGATAACTTGGGAGAATTGGTTTAAGAATTGCTGTACAAGGAAAAGTCATTGGTTTACTAGCCAAAAAAAATTAGTCTCTCATATAAGAGCTCCGTGAGTCTAATATAACAGGAAATGAGGTGCTCTCCTTCCCCGTAGGAAGATATCTACCAGCTAATTGAAAGAATAATGAGCAGCAGAAACTGTACGTGATCACTGAGGGCTGTACAAAGGACCCATGTGTTATGCATTGTTCTCGAGGTGATGATCATGCGACGTTGGTACAGTAAGACACGACCAACAGTCACCAATGCACCAACACCTGAAGGCCAACCAATCGTCCCCCATGTTGAAATTCATTCAATAATCCTTTGTCTAGGTACATTATGCATCAGGCTTAGTCTATTCTTTCTTCGGGTGCCAACCGTGCCATCTATATATACCATACGTTCCACCACAACATTAATAATTCTAAAACTCTTCGGCATCAAATAAGAGGTTTTTTTGTGGAGAAGAAAGGCAAGACTGAAAAGCTTGGCCGCTGTCTCTATACGCGCATCTTCCTACTTTGCTTAATCTGGAAAATCATTTTCATCATGTCGCAACTGCGGCCATGGCGCGTGGCCTTGGCAGTGCCCTTGCTCTACATCTCATGTGCCTGTATTGAGGCCTTTGCTGTCGACAAGCTAGTCGCCTTGCAAGAGCCATATCTTCAATCCGGAAGGATAGAATGGACCGGTGGCGGTTCGATTACGATCATGGAACGGTTCTGGCATGTTGAATTCCTTGATGAGCTGTGGCGTCGCTTCACAGTCACATTTGCTCCCTCCACCTTGGCATTCGACCCCGTCAGCTCGTGGCAAGCATTCAGTTTCCTCAATGACCTGGGCCCTCTATTTACCATTTGGATACTTGAATCGTCTCGAGTAGGAAATAGGCATACTCCAGCATGGATGTAAGTAAAGTACCTACCTAACTTTGGCTTTGTCACAAACCGCCATCTAGGCACAGGGTTTCGTTAATTGATGAATAAACTTCGGCTTAGACCAACAATATTCGCTTTTGCCGGCCAAGTACTGAGCTTGGGTGCGGTGGCGCCGCTCTTTTATATTCTTTGCATCCGCTTTAGCCCATCCTCATCTGCGCTTGTCGCCGAGACTACGCCAGCTGGACAGCGCCGAATCACCTCATCGGACAGCTCACCACTCCTACTTCCCATTCTCATATTCTTACATACCTTCGAGCTCTTTTACGCCTTTGGGGCAACCCAGCTCTCTACCCGCCACTATTGGACCTGGGCATGGCAGATGACGCCGCTCTTTGTCGGCCTTGCTAATACCAGCCTGGCATCCCTCATTTCGCTGTCACCCTCCCTGTCTCGCCAGCTGAAGACCATCTCATCGCCTCATGTGTTGCTGAGCGTCCCTGCTTCCATTTCAGCCGGAATCTGGATATACACTTTGATTATTTCTCCTTATTCAATATCCACACTTTTCCTGCCACTCCTTGAGCCACAAGACGCCCTCGAGCCCCTTCTACGACGCGGATTGCAAATTGATGAGCTCTGTGTTTTCGGTAGTTCATTATTATGGATAGGATATCACATAGTTGACCTCTACCTGGATGGCCATGTTACAACTAGCGAGATTTTCAACGTGATTTCTCTCTATCCTGTTATCGCAGCACTTACTGGCCCTGGTGCAAGCCTATCATACCTGTGGTTATGGAGAGAGTCAAAACTACAACGTTGAATATATATGATCGCTGGAATAAATGAAATGGTTATACTTATTATCCGTTTAGGGAAAAGGGGCTTTTAGAAAAGCTCAGGTACTATTGACCCTCATCATAACTGCTGGACTGTGGTATCTGAATAAGAATCTTTGTCACCATTTTCAGAATGCACAATATCCTGAATTGAATGGGAAGCGGGAGGCAATGTAGAGTTTGATGGGAGATCAATATTAATAACAGAATTTACACCCGCGTTAGCGATCGAACCCTATCTCTCGGTACTCATCTTAACAACAGTAGCAAATGGATAAGTCTTCTGATTTAAAGAATGATGTCTGAGCCAAGTCATTGGATCACAGCGGTTACTCATTTGACCATGGATTGCCAGAGACTGATCATTGATCGAGTACCTAGTCTGAGTCATAGCTTCCTGATGAATTAAACATGATATGAGTTTAGTGCAACTCTCTTGGCAGTTACAAGCCGAAGCTAATCATGCTCAACTCATTGCTCCCTTGCTCGGCATCAAATAAACCAGCCCAGGTCAGCTCACTATTCGGCTCAAACCCCAGCAAAATCATCAGAGCTTCATCCGAAAGCAGCTCCTCAACCCCCATATCATGTTCCTCGAGGGCCCTCGACTCGTATATAAACTGTATTAGATCGTGGGTGTGCGCTGCGGGACCCCTCCACCTACACATCTCGTTGAATAGTCTAAGCGATTCTACAATGTCAAGCTCAAGAGACTGGACGTCGGTCTCAGCTGTCGCCGAGTTTAGTCTAAGTAAGACAACGAGAACTGCCTGGAATAGGAACCAGCTCGAATTCCACGCCACCAGTTGATTAGGGTACCAGTTGCCCTTGATGAGCTCTATCGTCTCACGAGCGATCGTAACACATGTGTCGGCAATGGCCGTGGTGTCGTCGCGGGGTGAGCGCTCGCTGGGACTACTCGCGCCGAGGGACTGGAGGAGCAAATAGGGTCGATACAGTGTCATGCGCTGGTCCAGGTACCGGTATTGAAGAGTGAGGGATGCGAGGCGGATAGGCTGTGGGCTATGCTTCGGGTCTCGAAAGATTGGATGTACGTCAGCGTGCCATGCTAGAAGCTCTTGGTCAAACTGTTTCAGCTCGTTAGGGAGCATCAATGGGAGCCGGGCCATGCGATCCTGTATGCGGGCAGCTATCCTGCAGAATGAGGCGCTGGTCCGTATCGAGATGGACTGGTAATCCTGTGGCAGCTCTCATTAGTTTTCGTAAGATTATCCGACGTTGGGAATGAATCTTACAAGATCAACTCTTAGGTGCATAGGTGACGAAGCCATGCTCTCAACATCCCATATACCTCCTATAGGTCGTCCCAGAGTGGTGCCCGCCCATACATCAAGGCAGAAGAGTGACCACCACGTTCTGGCCCGCACATCTGCGTTGCTGCCAGGGCTTGATGGGGCCTTGATATAAGGGGGGACTTGATGCAGTCCCATAGCGACGGCCATGCGATGAGCGGCACCCATGACGGCGCTGGCCATGTTTGGCCGGTTCAGGTAGTGCAGGTAGTAGCCACTATATAGAGCTAGAGCTTGAAGGGTGTAGATGTGGCCAGAAGCAAAGCAGCTCATATCGAGATGCTTAGAAGCGCGGGCAAAATAGATGCCATGCCCCGGCTGGCTGTCGTCGTTGGCGGCAATGTAGCCGAGCGCGAGCACCATGTTGTAGAGGGCGAGCCACGGCCCGCGAGACCGGCCGAGCCCACCGCCCTGCGCCCGGCACTGCCGGAATCCCAGCTCGTCTATCATCGGGGTGATGCCGTGTACAGTCCGAAAGTAGGCGTCTACCAAAGATGCCTCGTCGTTGATGATCGGCTGGACGCAGCGGTCCATCTCTTTAGGAGTCGCAGCCCGGTATGGACGAGGCCGCAGAGACTGCATCTCTCGTCTCTTTTGGATCGCCTTTCGAAGCTGAGACGAGCTGTGAACCATGACACGCATGATGGTTGGAACAGAAGAGATGCCGAGGTAGGAATGCTTGCCCGTCTCAAACAGAACAGAGAGGCCATTGACGTCATCTTCGGAAAACTGTCGATGAATGTGGTCGTCTTCGGTCTCATTCCACTCGAAATCCTGATCCGGGGACGGCTCTAGATCTAGGATGGTGGCAGTTGGGGAGTCGCAAGCGCCCGCCACGCAGCGTGCCGCAGCAAGCTGTGTTGATGGCTGCGCAGGGGAAGGGGAAGGGGAGGATGAAGAAGGCACCTGGAGAGATGCATCGGGAAGCAGAGCGAGCAGTTGGTCGCACGAGAGATGTTCGAGGTCTTCCAGGGAGTGTTTCGGGAAGAGCCTGTTGAGAATGCCTCGTCCTCTTTCGTATGCATTGGACACATCGGCATACTCTCTGCTGAGCGTAAGCTATGGCAAACTATGATTGGCTCTGTGTAGTAAAAAGAGTAGTAGTACTTTACTGATGGTGCTTTGCGCGTCTTGCGCGCCGGGTAGTGGCAGAGCTCTGGGACTTGGTAGTAGACACATTGGCTACATGGCACAACTTGCCCATCACAGCGGATCCGGCGGCGTCGGCATTCGGCGCATGACTGAGTCTTGCTCTTGATGTTCGGGCAAAGAGAAAGGGACATGTGAGGCGTCCTGAGATCCTTGCTGGCCACTGGAGCATCTACGTTCGCAAGTGATCATCGGTCAGGTGAGATGAAATGGCGGCCTTCTGATCAGCACAGGGTTGTGAGAGCTAGAAGACCTTGGAAGGACGAGCGGCTGTAAGATGTATGGCTCATCTTCAAGGGCTGGAGCCTAGGCCAGAGTCAATGTCGGGTCCACCATGAGATCAGACACTACCCCTGAATCTTCAAGTCTCCTTCAGCTCGAGTATCAGATAACCCTGCTGTCTTTCTCATAATACATGCATAGGTATGTATCGATATTTCAATCTTTTGCTCATTATATTCCCGAAAGATACGTGCAATTGTTTGCATCGCATGATTCAATTAAACTACAGGGCCAGTTAACCGCAGCCTTGTTTTGCGAGTGGGTGGTCATCCACGTTTCAGCTTAATAAGTAGGAGGCGGAGTTTGGAAATGCCGTCCTAGTCTACATCATTGCAGTTGTCCCTGGATAATCGTGTTGCTTGAATTATACGTAGCTTGATTGACCGCTCCCAGTCCGTTCTCTCCATTACGCCCTGAGCCCAAGTTTCATTTGCTATACGGCGGGCATCAAGGAAGTATCGGGAATGTCACGATTGGCAGCCAAACCTTCCCCATATGGTGCGGAATTATGAAATAGCACCTTAGCCTCGCTGAGCAGTGCATCCCCACATCGGCAGAGCTGATTCTTGCCGCGTCAAGATCATCTTGTTGCGGGACTCTACTGCGAGTAATGAAACAATGTGGGTGCGCCAAGGGCTAGACTACCGAGTACCTTCCAAATAAGGATTAATGTTCACACTTCTCAAACATCAAGAGGAGTTGAGCTACCTATGACCTGTCCAAGAGCGCTTTGCCGGCTTGATACAAGGTGGCCATCATCAAGTTCATGGATATATAACCTCATGGCCGTCCCAAATTCTGGAATGTTCACAAGCTTGGTCTTTGTTCCTCAAAGTTGACATTCTACACAACAGAACAATTTGTCAAAACAAAAACTAAAATGAAAATTGCCTCTCTTGTATTGGGATACGCTGCGCTGGCAGCAGCGGCAGCCCATGGACCAGGTCTTTTTGAGCGTCAGCAAAGCAATAGCTTCGCTGGCGTGAACTCTTTCTTTCTACACGCTTTTAAAGAGTATGTATGTACTCTATGTTTGAGTATGAATCCCTCGTTTACACTACATGTTTAGGGCAGATAGACTTGAGGTTCTCGACGCAATCCAAGCCGCAAACCTCAAAGTCTTGCGACTTTTCATATCTGAAACATTTTCAAATTTCAAGAACACTGGATCGATCTACATGCCTGACGTTGAGCCTCAGACAGTCGGGGTCTGGGATGATACTCAGCTGGAAGCCATTGACCAGCTCATGGTAGAAGCCCATGCTCGAAGTAAGCCGTCCCTCCACAAAATGATCATGCTAGTCCAAGCACTGACATAGCCTTACTTGCTGTAAAGACATCAAATTGACCATCGCTCTGCACGATCGATATCAACTCGGCTGCTGGGGGAATGATGCCTACGTCGACAAGTACCATCTTCCCGCAGTAGACTGCTCAACAGGAAAAGCCAGTGACAACAACGTCGAGTTCTGGTACTCAGATAAAAACTGCATTTCGGACTTTGAGAACCGCATCCGTCATATCCTCGAGCACCGTAATGCCCGTATTTCAGGTAGTCCTGCTTGGAAAGACCTCTCTAGTCATATCTTCTCCTTCAACATTCAAAACGAAGGCCAGGGCCATTTGAATGGCAATATTGCCCCTCATCCTTCTTGGTGGTGCGACCGGGCTAAGTTCATGCGCAACGTCATGGGCGAGAGCAGTATCCTTATTTCTACAGGCGAGTTTTCAGTCGATGTTAATACTCACGGTAGGAGCTAACCATGAACCCTTTAGGAGGAGGCAACGAGTTTCCCAATAGCGACATCCCCGAAAACTGGGCGTGCGCTGCGCTGGACCTCGTCAATATACATTCATACAGCGGCGTGGCTGAGTTCCGGAACAAAGGGCCTGCCGCGCTACAGCGAGCCCTTAACGCGAATAAGCTGATGCTGTTTGAGGAGTTTGGAGCTTCCGGCAGTGGCAAGGCTAACGAGATCGCGCAGCACATTGCCGTCTTCAATGATCTCCGTGTCCCATGGTTGCCTTGGCAGATTAGCAAACCGGGCAACGGCCAGGCTGACTTTGAATTCTGGACAAACGAAGATACATATGGTGCTGTGCGAGATGGGTCTAACGCAGCTGCGGGACTAAATGCTGCTCAAAGTTGGTCTATCTAGAAGGCGATTGGTTGTCTGCAACAGGAGCCTATCTGAATTTCAAGTTCCTGTATGTTAGGGTACGGTGGAGTATATAATATGTCTTCGACCGACATGAACAAAAACGTGTAGATGTTGGAGTTGCCTTATATACTAGGTGACTGCTGTTTTCTATTTGTAACTTGATACTCGAACTTTCATTCGCATATACCGCTAAGCTGTTGTAGTCTTTCCTAGTTTAGTTTGGTGCATGAAACTGGCGGAAACCAATATAGCAGAAAAAGCATTTTCTTCATAGAAATAATACTGGGAAAAAAGCAGACCGGTCTTCGTTAAGTATAAGGTTTGTTGAACAACTCTACTACGTATTTTCTATTTCCCTAAGGTTCATATCTCGTTCGATATCTAATGGGTTCCTCTAGCATTCGCTGGGCACCGGAGGGGTTGCCATTGCCCTCGATCTCCAAAGCCTCGGACATTGATTTCCTCTCTCTTTGGTACTCCTACTGGGCACGCATTACCGAAACCCAAGTTCTTCATGCGTCGACTGGCTCCCTGAAAGCCGCCCATGCATTACGCATCCTACTCACTTGCCCAGGCGTAAACTCAGTCTTGCAATCGTCATCCGAATAGTCCACTTCCATGATCATCAGTAAAGTAGTCTTGGGATCAAAGGGTTACCTCATCATGGTAGACTTACTGTAATTATGAATTGAATCAACTCCTGGTAATTCAGGGCAGCTATCCTTGCCAATAGGACATCCGTAAGTCTCCGTTCCTTGTTGAGGGGTATCATCTACTTCATCTCCTACAAATTTGAGTTAGCATGTTCATCCATCGCTAGCATCATGCGCGTGATTCTAAGCGTTAGTATCTTTCTGATTTCACTTACCATCGTCTCCGCATGTATCGCCGAAGACATGAATGAGTCTAGGATCCATGTTAGCGACAGCGCTGGGCGAGAATCGGCTATGCTACTTCCGGGGAAAAGAAAAGCATTTAGTCTCAAATAAACAGATGCAAACATACCCAAACCAGTGCCCAACCTCATGAACAGTGTTTAGACCAGCATTATAGGTAGGATGAGAGCCACCAGGAACAGTGCTTGAAACCATCATGCAAGCATCCACTGCTTTCATTCTATCAGGGTCGGGGAAGTCGGTCAGGTTCAGTGGAAACGAACACTGCCCAGTGACTTGGCCGCCCATGGACACTAGGAAGAACAGATTGAGGTCCTTGTAAGACCCTTTTCGAAGCGCGGTCGTCATCTCTTGTCTCATATTACCAAGGGCCCAGGCCTCGTTTTCAGTGTACGTAGTTTCAAGAAAGTTGAACTGGATTGAATGGTCCGCGAAAACGTCATTCAACACAGCCTTCTGCTTGTCGAGTTGCTCACTGGTGAGATGACCGTCGTCGATGGTCGAGCCATTGGTTATCACGTGGATGTAGGTGTTCACCTCGATGGAGTCGGTAGACGCTATGGATGCTGCACGACTAGGTATCTTATAATTGGCCTTGAGCTCAGGCGATAGCTCTGCTCCGCAGCGAGCAAGAGCACCGATGGCCATAGTGCTGACAAGGGCAACCTGTCTTAACATCATCGTGTTGGCTTGTTGTAGAAGAGGTAGAGATATGTAGAGATAATGAAGGAATAATAGGTAATAGGACGAGGGACATATGATGGGACAGTTAGTGTTATAAATATGTAATCTGAAAATCCCCTGCTGCGCGAGACCCTACTCCCTGCTGTGTTGTCAGCGGAATAGCTGGGGTTATTGATCCAGTTAGGGATCAATATCCCGTATAGGTAACCATAGACTTTCCATATTGGATTAGGTTATTGTTGATCATCGACAGCTTACACCGCATCCATCGGTGCATGGAGTATATTTGATAAATCTAAAACGGGACACGAGGACAGTATGTTGGAAATGGACCGGTGTATAGATAATGTTATCAAGTATTATAGTATCCTAAGGAATTCGATGTACCGCATATATCAATTATATCCTAACCTAAAAGGAATAAAAATGGTACTATTTCCAAAACTATCCATGGTAGCTTCTTCAAGTATATATACCTACAAAGAGTATGGTCTTGTTCTCTCCAAGTGATCTCTCTTGTGAAAAGGCTAGATGCTCCTTCGCCTGAAACTGATATCTTATCTTATATAAACTTCGGGTGCTTCGGCGTTTAGTCCTCGATTCCACTTGGTATTTTTTCTTATTTCCACGGTGCAGCACTCTGTGCCGGGGTTTGTAATCCTCAGGGGCAACGCCCAAGTATGCTTACTTCACCCCTCGCACCGAAGCCGCGGATGGGTGCGACCTATCCCGAATACGAGGGGAAAATGGCTTTACTAAACAGTCATAAAATAAACTAAGGTTACTCTTCGGCCTGGTGTCATGCACCGTTGCTCTATTAGGAGGTTGGTTTGTGTCCAATGGGTGGGTTAGAAGCAATGAATTTTCAATTCCGGGCTGAGTATATAGCAGCTCTAAGCTTATACCACTAAAAAGGACTTCTGCGGTAGCCAGGCAGTCAAGAAACCGAGCGCATACAAACGCTGGAGACAATTCAACCGGGTTGAGGGACCCCTGCACCAAGATTCATTATACGGACTGGGGCGAGTATTGCCGAGATATGGGACCGAATTGAGTGTGGGGAGGGATACGAGTCAGGAAATGATTGGGCCACTGCTGAAGGCCTCATCCTGTGTTTCCCGGGGGGATTGAGCAGCGATGCGGGGCTGGCAGCTGGTGATTATGAGGGACTGCATGGACTCATGGGGTCGAATACGAACATCGTTCTATACTATTGATAGCATCCGTGTCAAGTCTTATGCATTTTCACCGTAGAGACCTTGTCTATGACTGCGTCCAAGGTTCAAAGTGTATTGCGGCATACTACACAGTGCCATTGTAGCAGGCCGTCCCTTATTTATTTCTACGCATTTGCTTTGTTTACTATCTTATAAAGCGCCTTTTCTGACTCAAAAACAAGATCTCTACAAGGTATATCATTGGCTGGCATAATCTGATGAAGAGTGCTGCTGCTACGCCGCTCTCACGGTCGATGAACCAGATCAGATTAGGCACTCCAGACCAGTGGACAGTATTCTTTCTGCGTCGGCCCTCAACATCCTTAGTGCTAATAACCCCACACAAACAATGTTGAAGCTTCATCATATCACCCCATTCCTGTCCCGGCTGAGTCCAGGTGAGAGCCTGGGTATCACGTATACCCGTGCCAATTATAAATTCTCGCAGGCCTGATACAGGTCCGGGGCCAATCTGCGGACGGAACATTTCGTCCACCGAGTCTTTCTTTAGCACTAGCCCTCCGCCCGTGATGAGGGCACCAAGAAGCTTGCTATAGTCACTAGGAGTCGAGAATATGCCAGCGCCACCTAGGGCATCACGACAGTCATATTTCCAGGAGCTTGGACCTGCTCTGAGATTTGGGATCCTGTTCCCGGAGCTCGGTGTCCAGTTTCCTGAAGATCCACTGGAATTTTACCACTTTCAACTGGGAAGAATGTCGTATTAGACGTCCCAAGTGGCTGCCAGATATACTTTTGCTGGTACTCGTTAAAATCCATGCCCGTGAGAGACTACCTACGCCGCCCAATCTAGTCCAGGACCATATTTCCACGAAGTACCGGGTTGAAAGACAAGAGGATGGGAACTCCTAAGAAATATATAAATTTATTCTATAGATTTATTAAAGAACATATATATATATTTATTAAAAAAAATATTACCTAAATTTAATTTCTATTTTTAAGCTCTTAAATCTAGGCCTTAACTTTCTCTCTTTAACCCTTAATATATAATTTTACCTCTACATCCTGAAGGGCTTTAACCACTGCTTTAGCTCTCTCGAGGAGGCTCTCGTATTCAGGGATACTATATTTTGGTGTCTCATGCATTGACTGCTCAAGCATCTCCATGGATTCCATGGCAACATCAAGAGGAGTCTGGTGCTGGGCATTCTTCGATTTTATCCCTCCCTGGCACAGCGACGGAGAGTTAATTTGACTAACATGATTAAGAAGCAGACTAACGCTGTGTCGCATAAAGTGCATCGCAAAACGGTGCAACATCGTTTGGCCCCTGTCATCAGCATGCTCAATCACCCGCCGCCGCTTCTCCGCATCCACATGACCAAGCACATACTTGTTCAACAACTCGGCTATTCTTACGTCTGCAGTTTCATCAAAGGGTGGCTCTGTATGCGCCAACAGGGCAAAGATTCCCCATCCCTGCTCCAACGCAAAGCGATGTGCCACCTTCTCCTCAATGTCTGCACCCAGGGAGAGAAGCAGCTCCATCAAGTCGAAATTTCTGCGTGCGGCAGCCGTGTATAGCAGCGTGCGACTTGTCAATTTGTCTTTATGGTTGATATCGGCACCAGCTGCGCTGAGAATCCGGACGGTCTCGTAACATATGACGTTATCCTCACAAGGGCGGTCGATTGCTTGCGTTCCGTACTCATTTTCTGTGTGTATATTTGCTCCACCCTCCAGGAGCGCAGTAACAACATCGCGGCACCCTCCCAGAGTAGCCATGATTAGAGGCGAGTAGGGCTCGATGGTCCCATCATAATATGTGGTGCTCGGGGTTGTCAGTCGTTCCAAGTCTCCGCCTAGAGACTTAATAGCTGCAACGGTTCGCTTCAACTGACCTCGGCTCATCGCTGGGCTATCCTTGAAAGGCAAACTGGAAAAACGGATACCTGTCAGGGTTCGACGGATGTGACCGGCACTTAGCCTATGTAGTACAGTTAAACCCTCATCGTCTACTGCATTAATCTGGATAGTTCTACCCGAGGACACAAGATACTCAAAAATAAAGGGATCGTGATCCATCGCAGCATAATCAATAGGACTTAGACCCAACGGCTGAGTTTCCGGCAAGGCGTATAACTCTTCAGGCGGATCGCCATCAGATAAAAGCCTCACTCGATTGTCATACCTGTAGGGGTCCGAACCGTCACGTATGTCCAGTTGGGCCCCAAGATCGATAAGGACTTTTATTGTGGTATGGCTCTTAGTAGCAACGGCCCAGTGAAGAGGTGTTCCGGAGGGAAGATGGAATGGAAAGTGAAGAAAAGGCACCGGTTGAGGAATCACGGCATTGATATTAGCCCCGCTACTGACCAGTCGATTCGCTACAGTAGATTGGAGGGCTGAGTCGAATGCAAATAGCCAATGCAAACATGTGATGCCGAACTCGGTACACACCACAGAAGCATTGGCGCCACGGTCGAGCAACTCGGCAGCAATATCCCAGGATCCGCGAGCGCAAGCTAGGTAGAGGGCCGTCTCTCCCTCTTTTGTCCTCTCCTCGATATCGAAACCAACTCCGGCAGAAGTGATATAATCGTTCAGTTTCTCTAAGGTTCCGAAAGAAGCAAGCCCAGGCAAGCCATCCACGGCTTGGTTGGCGAGATAGTGTGATGCGTAGCCCCCATGGGCCCTAAATTCTTGAATTGAGGCAGGCATTGACTCTGGGCCAAGCAGATCCAACTGGCGTCTCGCAGAAATTGAACCACTGGCAACAGCTGTCTGAAGCCATTTCATAACCTGTGTAATTCGGTCGCTTGGGATCTCCCCGTAGTACCATGCTAATGCTGTTGGGGCTGCTGCCCTTGCTGGTTGGTATCCTCGCGTAGCTGCAGTCAGCAGAAGGTCTAGGATTGCCTTTTTCTGGGTTGCCGTCTGGGTCTGAGAGCCGGTTGAGAACAGAAAAGTGGCGAATATGACCTCCGGTAGGAGGGCTTCTCTTGCAACCGCAGAGGATGAGGACAGCCCGGAGAGAAAATACCAGCCCAGTCTGGGTATTTCCCATGAATATCTATGCCTTTGCGTCAGGTCATGGGGATTAAAGACATGGTCGGGCAGACTATTGTCCAGCTTGGCGTGGGAGGGAATCGGGAGGTGTTCGGACATAGTATCATCGTCTTCAGAGTCTTCTGCCGCCGCGGCGCCAACCCTGTCCCATCTGTCAACACATCTGGCTAATGAATAATGCTTGATAGAGGTGAGAATACCCATACCGCCGTAGATTTAGGATAAGTTGGTCACGCGATTCAACCTCGCTGGCATCGAAAAGCCCCTCACTCTCGCTAAAGAGCCGTTCCGCGTTCTCTGGTCTCTCATCTGGATTCTCGTTAAGCAGGGCAGGGAACGCTGTTCGTGCTTCAGATAGGAGAAAGGCCATGGTAAAGCTTGTGGCCTTTTTAGTCTCGCTTAGCAACCACTCGTGTCTGCCTTGGGGACTCATTGGAGGGGGAGGGGAGGAGTTCCCAGACGTAAAGATTGTCTTCCAAGCAACTAACCCGAATGAATACATATCAGCCTTCTTCATTCCATTTACGGTGAGACACTCCCCCCGTTCTACCTCTGGAGCCTGCCAGCCAGGAGTCCCCCCCAGCCGAGCCACAGCCTCGCCGGCAATTGATAGGCCAAAGTCAGCTAGCTTGGCAACAAGACCATCTCTCTGATCAAAGATCAAAACGTTGCGAGGCTTGATGTCCCCATGAATCACACTACACTGATGGATGGCGTCGATGGCGGCTGCAATGTGGGAACATAAATGGTATGCTTGCCAGGACGAAATGGCCTGCTGGTCGAGGACTTGCTCGAGATCAGACAAGGCCATTTCCATGATGAGCGAGATTGGATGGTGCAGGCTATACATGTCGAATGACCACGCGAGTAATCGCGCAATGTTTGCGTGATTTCGCAATGCGGGTACTGTCAGCGATCTAACTTCAAGGCAAATATCTTCGAGATGTCGCTTGGCTTGCCCGTCTGCCATGTTGAGCTGTCTGGATGCGTCCAGGTGGAATTTGGGTTGTTTGACGGCGACGGATTCTAGCACGAAAGAACCTCCCTCGGATCGAGCCATCCTTTGCCTGTATACTACAAACTGAGCGCCTTGCCCAATTTGTTTCTTCCCAGGTATGAGGTTCGCTGGTCCAGGGACGCCTGCCGCCTCCAGTGCCCTGCCGATATCATAGAAGGCCCTGAGATCATCCGGGACTTCATCAATAGCGAGGTGATGCGTTCGCCATGATCCACTGGCGGAAGCACTGATTGGCACCCTTGATGAACGCACCCGGTTACTAAAAGAGCCCGATGAGGCCGAAGATGCGCTGATATCCGTTGCCATCTTGTAGATATTGCAACCTAATGGAGCTGAGAAAATGCTGAAACACTGGAGATCGCAATGCACTAGGCCGAACAACACTTTAATTTTCAGTGTTAAGGTGGCACGCAATAATTGGCCAACTCCTCTCTTTGATTCTCAGCCTGCCTGTACCAAGCCCAAGTGACACCAAGGCGGTAATACAATATGCATGATTGGTCAAACTAGCCCCGCTGAGGGGGCATGATCTGACCTGTTCACTTTTCACGTAGAATGAACATTCTTTCGTGTTCCTCAATTAATATTGTTGAGTAGTCCCCCTGTGATATGCTGCCGGACCTTGACCAGTAATACATCCATTATTGACACACCGCCTAGCACAACAGCCTTTTTTTAATTTCATTTCATCGCCCATAGTTTGAGCTGCTAGTAATACTGCCCAAATGGAGCCGGGCAGCAGCCCAAACTATGTGGATCAACTCAACAAAGGCCTCAAGGCTTTGTGTCACGGATATACTAGTGTGAGCGTCTTGGTCCTATATTGGCAAGATGGAGACGAAGGCTACAAGAAGGAAGGACAAGCTGTCCGCCAATTGTTCGAAGAGTTATTCCACTACAGCGTGACTGAGTTCGCCATCCCCACTGAAAAGAGCATCTTCCACTTACGGGCGACCATCAGTCAAAAAATCATGGACCTTGCCGAGCCCTCTCTTCTCATCATTCACTACGGGGGCCATGGGGACAGAGACGACGACAAACACAGCAACCAAGAATGTAGATCGGTGTGGGCCGCGTGAGTCCTTTGGATATTCTTCTAACTCCATGCATTCCACTTTTTCTAACAGCGTCTCAGGCATCAGTCCGGAGGACCGACACTAGACTGGTGGAGAATACAGGATGAAATCAAAAATTGTGAGTCCGACAAGATGCTCCTCTTGGATTGCTGCTATGCGGCTCAAGCGGCGCGAGACCGAGATACAGCCAATGGTAAATTCGAGATCCTGGCAGCAGCGGCCATGGGTGTGAAAACGCCGGCACCTGGTGACAGTTCCTTCACCCAAATTCTCATCAAGGAAATGGAAAGCACTGTTCGCCGTGATGGTTTTATTGTTGCCAAGGATCTCCATGGGCAGCTGTGTCACCGCAGCCGCAAGCTGTATACAACCCCCGTTCATATCCGTCTTCAGCCTGGAAAGAAATTAATTCGCTTAAGCCCTCTATCGGCAAATACCGCCCTGGATGAGGGAAACGAGGCAGTTAGCCCATTTCTAAAGATTATTATCAAGATGAGGGAAGAGCTGAACTATGAAAGTACAGTAGAGATGGCTGAGTGGCTCAAAGATGCCCCTCGCAACGTTTCCGGCCTCAAAGTGTTGGAAAAAACCGAATTCATCGAGAAAGCGGTGCACAATGTTAACCAAGGTAGCAAAGAGTTCACGAAGCAGCTCAGGCCGGGAGCAAAGGAAGAAATTGGGCATGCTTGGTCCAAGATTGTTGCCTTGGTCAACCAGCATCATGAGTCTTTTATAGGGGGCATAGAGGACGAGGACAAGGAGAAGAGACGCCGAGTTTTCGACCTTGTGAAACGACTGGATGCTGAAAACAATTACGTTGTGGACTTGGTGGAGAGGCACATTCTTACCGCCCCAAACATCGATGAACCTGATGTTCTACAAGGAGCCGTCCAGGACGATACCATGCAAAGTCTGGGGATATCCGATCAGCTACACATGCGTTGCATAATCTCTTCAGCTAGCCGACCTTGCGAACCGGAACCATCCCGGTCCTCACGCGGCCAAATCGGCGAGGACATGCACTTCGAGATCAAGCATTATGGCTCTTATATTGATCCGCGAGAAAAGCCAGGCCTGGAGGAACGTGCCCGTCGTCTGTCTGAGCTGCTGAAAGCGCCCAAAGATGCAGGGTTTCGTACGCTGCATTGCACAGGATATGAAAACGAAGAGCTTACACACCAATACCGCTTCAGTTTCAGTATCCCCGAGAAATTTCATGGTTTTCAGAAAATGAGTTTAAACGATGTGATTGTCTCAGCAAAGGGCAAACGGCGTCCATCGCTCAACGACAGACTCAGAATCGCCCACATACTCGCCAGGGCTGTCCAGAAATGGCACATAGTCGGTTGGGTCCACCAAGGCATCAGTAGTCACGACATTATCTTTTTTAGAGACAAGACGACTAAGAAAATCGACTACTCGGAGCCATTCCTCCACGGCTTCGAATTTGCCCGACCAGACTCGGATCCTTCCATTGGTGTCGGCCGCGCGTTGGATGATATAAAATTCAACATCTTTCGACACCCAGAAAGACAGGGCACTGCGCGCAAAGGTCACCAAAAGAAACATGACCTCTATTCTCTGGGAGTTGTGCTACTTGAAATCGGCCTATGGCAGGATGCTCGCGACATTGTCCGGTCGAAGCCTGGGGTTACTCTTACTGCCGCAGATCTTCAGACCATGCTTCAAAAAGACTGCCGGGACCGCCTGGCTCACTTTATTGGTACTTCGTACCAGGCTGTTGTTGATATCTGTCTATCTTCCGATTTTGGGGTTGATGTCGACGATACACATGGATCATACCTAGCGAAGGCGTTTCAGGCGAAGGTGGTGGATGAACTTGCCAAGGGCGTGACATTCTTATATTAAGTATTTTTTAAAGTTCTTATTACCATGCCTACTTGCAGCATCCGCCACCTGGGGTTTCGTTTCCAACTGTAAATGCTACGAGTACCGCCATGTAACTGTTGTTTTTCGGTTTCGTATGCGGTTAGCTCCCTTCCCGACTCAACTTAAAGGTCATTTGCTTGCTTACCTTGCGCCAGAGGCAAAGACTTCAACTGTCCTTGCTCTGGTGAAAAAGGCAACCACGCAAAGAAAGAGGATGGCCGAGAAGACACTTGCGGCCATGCGACCACCAGAACTCGAGATTCTGGGGAGTATGAGGGTTGGTGTCAGGATGATGAAACTGGAAGCGATAATTGCGAGGACTCGGCTGAGCTGCCGCATTCTTCGACCAAGCAAAAATATATTTTCGTCCATTGTAATCCTGTAACGCTTTTTACGCAACCCGGGGAAGTACTAGCAGATACGGAATTAGACTCCGCAATAAGGTTGAAATAAGACGGGACCTGTTACCCAGCCAATAGTGCGATCCAACCAAAAGGTGCAATCCTCTACCACTGACTCGCTCAAGGTGATTGCGGTATCTGGTGACCCTGTGAGATTCATCAGGTCCTCGTTCATGTCAAGGTATTTCAATTCTCGGCGGCTCAAGGACCGTGTGCCTGCCGTCCATCGTCGGAGATTCTCCTTGTCACGGTCCCAGGACTCGGGTAGGGAAAGGACTTGGCGACACCGCTCTACTAATTCGTCTGATTATGAGAGATGTGTAAGTTTTCAAAGGTACAGATGCAAGCACAGGGTAGCCTTTTTGGCACTTGTTTGTTATTATCGCACCATATTCAGCGATGGCAGTTCCAAGGTCTCGCAAGACTTGGAGGCGTTCCAGGTTGTTATCTCGACGCATGGACCCAAGGAAAATTTCGTGATCCTCACATGAATCAAGGCTGTCGAGCCTCTCCTCAAGGGCCGAAATCTCATCTTGTTTCCGCAGCAAGAGCCGCATCCGTACCCTCGTAAATCGACGGAAGTTTTGGAACGAGGGGTGAGCGCTAAGGAACGCGCTGTAGCGCGGATATCCCGAGCGGTATTTGTCCACTAAGATGATGAATAACTCATTAGACACCTAGGTGTGTCGGGGCAAGTACGATTCCTGAGGGTGGGATTCTTGCATCTTACAGGATTCAGTTAGGTCCATGTTGCCATATGCATGTGCTCCAGATATTTGCTCATTTCTGGCTGGGTGGAGGCTTTATTTATACATCATATAACGCCCAAATCTTTCTAGTCTTCAGAGCTGAAATGCGGGTTGATTGTGCACCTATTTGATCAAAGTGGATGCTCCTACTAGAGAACTCGTTTGCCGCATGGCTGCCTAAACGTAGTCAGCTCAAAGCGCTGCACTTTTCACTGCCCTCTTTGGCACAATACCACGGTTACTTTTGCCGTCATTGGCCCTGGACACTCGAGGCAGACTTCAGGCTCTGTGCTGCCCAGTCAAAGCGCGACGTGTTGGGCACTGTTGCAGGATACATCTCTGGCATGATTGGTCCCGTGCACTTTCGGAACCCCGCCAGGGTAATAGTATTACTTTTCAGGCACATCTGTGCCTTTGCTGACGTGGCCTGAGTTGATGAGCAAATGCATATTGGTGCCTCGGGTATAATAATTATACTCCATCTCTTCAGGTTGGGAAAGAATGAGAGAGCCCAGCTTCATCTCATTATCAAAAGCAACACGTCCAAGTATAGCCAGATTCACAATGTCTTCCAGCCAAGACAAACAGGTATGTAGTTGGAGCTCCGTCACAGCTATATGCCCACAGTAAATAGAGTAAATAGGGAAACAACATTAGTCAACACGAAGAAGAGGGCAAATTTAGACCACGAGTAGGAGAATATCCCCAAGTAAGTCAACTTTGACTCCTTCTCGCCCGACAGAAGCATACGCTTATCATAATTGCGTAACCAATAGGGCAAATTCCACGTCGAGGACAAAGTTTATGCAAATTCGTCTGGGCGAGGACTTCTCGGTCCATATCTTGTAAGCAGTATCACCAGTGACGGCGAATATGTGCTGTGCAATGAAGATGGAACGAAGGTGGAGGGAGGGAAAACCTTTAAGGAGACGGAGCTAGAACACGCCCCGTAATCAAGCATGAGCTAGGACGCGGACGGAAAGGTTATGAATTCATAGCTATTTGGCACTGAGTGGCAATTGCATTCTCGTCCATGTTGGCTCCTGCTATTAGAACAGAGCTAACACGCTATTGGCGAGTGTGTAGCTTTGTAACTTTCTTTTTCTTCAGTCTTCTTCCCCTTTACTTCTTCACCCGATACACCTTGGTCGGGTGAAGAAGCAGCCTTGGCTAAAAATAAATGCATTGCCTACCAACGCCATAAGCACAAGCGCATTACTAAAGAAATATCAAAAGGCAGGCTTGCCTCGAGTTTGTCTTCAGCCAACACGTTAAAAGCATCAACCAACCAGCCTTCCTAAGAACTATTTACACTCAGGTCCTAGGTTATGGGTTTCGCTTCCGCAATACTGGACTGGGTCAATGAGATCTTTCACACACATGGCTCAGAGTTCAGTTACCACAGTGTTGGTTCAAGGGTGACAAGGAAGCGAGAGATATTATTGACAACATGTATCCGCGGGAATTAAATGTCTCGAGAATAGCTGCATAAGTAGAAACATAGATGAAACTAACCCGAGGCATTTTCTTGCCTAGACTCAATCCTTGCTAAACTAACAGCGCAAGCTCTATACAGCCCTCCTCGCTCAAAAGTAGGAATATTCTACGACGAGGAGGTTGCAAACTTGAGAAAAGCTTTTTCTGCTTAAGCAAATTCAAATAACTATACGTGATCTTCCTCTTCTCTTTTTTTCTTACCTCTTTCGGGTAATATATAAAGCTACCACTTGGTATATTTTAAATGGGCTAGGACAGACACTTATAGAGGTCTTACCTTTAAAAGAGATTCCTCAACATGGAAAGTCCCAAGCTCTATTTAAAAAAAAGCTATATCTTGTCTCTGGGCGCTGACAAATCGATTCAAACGTCGCTGGCAAGCAAACATGAACAGTGACACGATATAATGGAACTGCCATTCAGTTCAGGACCAGGTGCGGCGCTATTGCCGCTGTTAAATATACTGCGTTCAAGTTGGCCGCGTAATGATTCAAATTTAGACACATTGCTCACTTGACTACCTGTTGGTGCTCAGTCGAAGGGTTTTATTTTCTTCTTGTATCATAACCTAGGCATTGTCTACGAACAACTATGCAATGCCAATAGGACTGGCTCTGGTTGTGAATATTTGGGAATTGACCTGAAAATTTAGATCTGTACCAAACCAGACTGAAAATCGTCTTCTAAATCTCTTTGCTAGATACACAGCCTCAAACTAGGGCTGCCTCGTAATTTTATTAGTGTAGGAGAAATACTAGGTCTCTTTGCCGTGAATCCCTTTTTTCTAACTTAGACCTAGCCTATGTAGCTTCAGCCTCCAAGGCAAAGAGCTATGCCTTGCTGTACTACACTATACTATGCGTTATACTGGAGAAGATAGCTACATTTGCCCCGGGTCTAGACTGGACTGGTATAGTAGAGTTATGATGTGGCAAGGTTTTAGAGCAAGCCGCAAATTATAGCGAACTAATGGAGCATCGGCCCATCCTTAATTCTTGGGTCTTTCTTCAGATAGAGAGTTTAATCAAGCAAACAATCATAAAGAATGAACATTGTTCCGTTTCATTACTGACTAAAACAGTGGTTTTTCTGTTAAGACATGCGATTCCAGTGTATGCTAGGGCGGCGACTCACCACCAATCCGTGTAAATTATTTAAAATCGAAAATGTTAATGCAAAATGAACTGAGTTCTTTCTTTAGTACAGAACAAACTATTTCTATAGTATATAAAGTTTCAAACCTCGATCCTTGGTTTAAAGACTACCTGTTGACTCACGTTCTTATTATAAATCGTGCATCGTCGGGGTTACGGTGTTTACACGGGGTCCTTGACTTCCCGGCAAGCCGAGTCCAACTGGCTAATAACAATGTCTAGGCAGTATGCCAAGAACAACAACCGGTTAAATGCAGTCCAAAACCCTATTATAGCCAGTGTGTCTTATGCAGCGCGTTATATAACTCCTTCTCTAAGACGATATATAACTCCTTCTCTAAGACGATATATAACTCCTTCTCTAAGACGAGGGGATCTGACCCATAACCCTCACGCCTCCAGGGGCAGTAAACATAAAGGCAAGCCGTACCCCCTCACGTATCATCCACTTGGCTGGCCATGTTGGCTTCCACGATGGCTCCTTCCGGCATCATTTACGTGGGTTCTCATATCACGGACCCTGCGCTCAGCCAAGATCTCCTCAACAGGTGGTACTACGAAACCCACTTTCCCGAGATCTTCGCCATCCCAAACGGCCCCCAAGTGGGTTTCCGCTTCAAGAACGCCAAAGAGTCTGCTACCTTTCATCATCTCACTCTTGTCCCATTGCCTAGTCTTGCACTGGTTGATTCCCCAGATTTTACAAACGCAAAATATACCTATGACCTACTCCCTAAATCCCATCTCGAGCTGGCTGAATTTGACATCCGCTACTACGAGAAGGTCCGGACCTTCGAGGACCAGGTTCCCAAGGACGGCCGTATTGGAAAGTGCTTGGTCGCGATTGATATAGACTCTGATAAGGGCGATGAGGCTGAGAAGGACTTTGACGCCTGGTATAATCTGCAGCAGGCAGATATGCTAAGCGTGATTCCGGGATACCGCCGGACCACCTGCTACAAGTTGAAGGAAGCGCCAAGCTTTTCCGCTACGAATTCAGGCGACGTGCCCAGATACCTGGCTCTACACGAATATGATAGCACAGATGTTAAAGCAGAGCATGTAAAGTTGTGCTTAAAGACCGAGTGGAACAACACAACTCTCGGCGATTCCAGGTCGTTTGTAAGAGACATTTGGATTACTATCCACGAGCAAGGCAGAGAAGGATTCGGACTATAAGCACGGTTTGACGACTTGGAGCTCTAGTATGCCTACATGATCGCTGGAGAGTCGTGATTGATGTGATTCGAGACATGGAAAGTCGCTAGTCCAATTATATCGATCAATAAGAGTGACATTAATTAAATCTAGTTGAATGAGGTTAATCGCTAATCTTTATATGCCTATGGCGTCCCAATATATTACTTGAGCGCGTCTAATTACTTAGTACAAGTGCAATGGCGTTGTCCAAAGCGATGCTAGTTTTTTCCCTGTCTGTTTGTTGTGTTCCTCATAATCTTATAGCTTAGTATTGTAGAAAGCAGGATGGCGAAATGTTCGGTGCGAAGGTATAGATAAATTTGAATAATTATAGATCGCGGGAGAAGCGCTCATGGAAAGTGGGAAGAGTAATACGCTTAGTGAAGAGCTTCTAACTCGGTTTTCTTTTAGCAGAGAAGGTATAGCCCACAGAGGTGAAATGACCTCTTGGGATAAAGTTTGATATCCGGTCTATCTAGATTACTAAAGCCTTGGTCCGAATAGGAGCGGCAAGTTAAAGATAATTTTCTGAGGAAATAACTTCTTGGCCCAACAACAAAAGGGATGGCTCTTCACTCCTAATTCACTCAAGAAAGGGTATGTAAGAAACGTGGAAACTATATCTAGAAGACAACCGCCCCCTGGCATTTCCACCAAAGAAAAAGCGAAAACGCCCAAGTGCCACTAAGGTCACTTAGAATTCCAGACAGTTACAACCTGCGCAGTCATCGGTGCTGCCTGAAGTGAACCCGCAGTAGCCAGTCCATTTGCACTTGCTATCCGTGCACTTTTTCCGATCGCAAGTTTCACCCTTTCTCGCTCTAACTATACAGACTTTACCAGCTCGTTCCTCGAGAAGAATGTCTCGCAATTGGAGCCAAGAGTCGGCAAATTGAGCTGAATTCGGATCAGATTACTTAACATAAAGCGAGGCTGTGGCTCAGTCAGATGTGGGAAAACATACTACCACGCCGCGCAAATTCACGGACAGCATCAGCCCTTTTAACACGAGCAACAGAAAGAGTTGCAGAGGAAAGGATAGTAAGACCAAGGAATATCTTATTGAAAGAAACCATTTTGAAAGTACAAAGGTTATAAAATGGTGAAGATCAAAGTAAAAGTAAATTGTCGAACCCAAGAGGTTATGAAGAGTCAGATGTTTGGAACTGCACTGAGAGATTAGTGATGGGAGATTCTGAAAGTTGAAACAGCAGATTTTTTGCTTTTAAGTCCTAAAATGAGAATCAGTCGGGCATATGCTAATTTGGTAATATTGTTGTTGGTCTGGTCTGCTCGGCCAACGAATTTAGAGCACTGCCACCAACAACTATCTTGCTAATTCCATTTGGCCCCCGTGGCTCCCCAAAGGCTTCGAGCAAGGTAGATGGATATAATTGAAGATAACCTTGGCAGATTACTTGCCCAATATACTTTGCTCTTCCTCGACATACAGTGTTTAGGAACAGAATCCTTGCCAAATGCTCCTCGAATCATGCCACGCCTCCTCAAGATATACTTTTTTAAAAACGGTATTCCCAACCAACAACTTACAGAATCCTGTCATTGCCATTACTAAAGCATATTTCCGACAATAGATTTTCAACTCAATAGCCAGCTCGTAGGTATCACCTTTTCCTCGGGGTTTATTTCCAATAACAGATTTTCGAACTAACAACTAACAGTAATAGTAAGTAAGGGAGCTGTACAGCTGCTGAAAAAAAAAAAAGGGGAAATTCCTAGATACCAGTAATTTAATAACTTAATACTATACCCAGGTATTATAATATAATAAACTTCAGCCTTATAGCTATAAGCCTTATACCTAGCTATATCTAAGATTTAATATTAAAATAGCTATATTTATATTATATATAAGGTTTATTAATACTAAAGATTATATCTAGTAGTAACTCTTTTATTAGTATAACTCCTTTTATAAACCTTAAAATACTAATTTTTATCTATAAAGACTGCTATTATTAGCCTGGTTCTAAATAAACTATATAGTTTAAGTCTATCTATACTTATAATAGTATTAATAATCTTTATAAATTACTATACTTAAATAATCTAAGTATTATATATTACTACTTATAGATAAGCTAAGTATTATTACTACCTTTATTACTATATATACTACCTTTACTATTAGTTAAATTATTTAACTTCTCTGCTAGTATCAGTATACTCTAGTTTTTATAAAGACTTTAAATATCTAACTAAGCCTGTACTTACTCTTACCCGGTCTGCTAGTAACTAAATATACTCTGAACCTTAATAATAGTTATTACTATAATAAAGAAGAGAACTAAATAGAGGAAGCAGGTACTTACTATAGTACCTATTATTTAATCAGGCCGGCTGAATAACTAAGCTTTAAAGATCTAGCCTAAGGTTAATACTAATAACTATAAACTTATTAGACTAGTTAAAATAGTTAGAAAGATTAAAAATCTCTTTAAACTTAGTTTTAAATAGACTATTAGTTTCTTTTAACTTAGATCTTAGATCCTTAGTTAAAATAATTCCTTTAAAGAGGAGTATTTTAATTAGATTAATATTAAGATAAAATATAGTAATTAGCTATTTTTTATTAAATATAAAAGTAATTTATTAAGATATAGTAATTATAACCGCTGCTACTTATAGCTACTTTATATAAAGATAGCTATTAAGGTTACCTGGGTTAGAAAAAATATAACTGGGGAGGAGAGAAGGAAGGAAGGTAGTAAGAGGGATAGATAGCTAGGCCAGCTAAATACAAGCCTACTGTCTCTCTTAAACATACAAACGTATATATATATACCTGTCCTCGTAGCCCCCCCCTAACAACTAACTAGGTAGGTTATAGATCCTAACTTTGCCTCGCGGCATATTTCCAATAGTATTTTTACATGCCAACAACCAGGTCGTAGATCCCATCATTCCTCGGGACATGTTTCCAAGAACGGAATAGTTGACATGGTCCGAAGAATCAGGCCGTAAGTTGCATCGAACCGTCTTTCCAAAATGCAACTCTGAACCAACAGGCCAAATAGCGCAGCAATTTTAAAACCTTTCTCTCCAATCGGGGGCAATTTACTGCTTAGAATGACCCACCGCTAATCAAGCCCGGTTCGACATGCGACATATGACGCCGAGGCAATCCCGCTCTCCTTGACGAGGACTGTCATTTGCTGAAGCGAGCGATATTCAACAATACTCGAGGTAGAAATCAAAACAAAAGAGTTATTCTATGAGGAAATATAGAGAAGATCGGTTCCAGAATCAACATTGAGCATGGTCTCCAAGTTATTACATTATTCGTTGAAATCCTAAGGCTCCAAAGTAGAATCGACAAAACCAAGCGCGCCACAGCTGGAAAATTTAGGAAACGTAAGCCAGTGCTGAAGGGAGAGAAGATGCCTAGTAGCTCTGTTTAGTCATAAATGACTGAACTACATAACAGTATTTTAGAGTCTAAGAGGTTGATTACATGCTTTCTCCCTCGTTATCAAATACACAATTCAAAATATAACGCCTTCTAACAACTGGGCGGGTTATTGCCTGCAGCAGGAGCCAGCGGTACAGGTGTTAAATCGAGGAATGGCCAATCAGTCGTTTAAGGGGCGAGGAAGTGCTATGCTCATTCAATCTCAACACCAGTCTTTGCTGCCAGCCGTCCAGACCTGCGTGTTGGCCTCGAAGGCCCACGGAGTGGCCTGAACAAAGCCCCTGGCTTCTCGGGTATTCGAGGTACCATGAGCTCATCCCGCGTACGTAGATACATGTTCGGTATCTGAAACTGAAAAATAGCATCCAGTTGTTGGAAAACCCACCACAAGGCTGTGTAGGTATTATCAATTAAATCACCCTCCTGCAGTATTTCTGGGTGCTGCTGGGAAAATTCATATACTTGTTGTAGCTTCTTTCGGTAATTTGCAACGGAGGCTTCATTAAAAGCCTTTCCACGTTGTATATCGGTGAACAAGGTGGAGAAATCGATCTCGCTTGGTGACGATCTGAACATGTCCCTTCTATCTGGTGTTTCGCCGCAGAAGACTCTCTGTGCCTCGACTTCAAGGGGGGTATTGTCAGGATCGTCCCATTGAGCGACCACAACCATTTTCTGGAGAGAAATGAAAAGGCCTTTGGTAAACTCCATAGTCTCCAGGAACTTGGTGAAGGATCTAGGAAAGAAGATTGCAATTTGAATAAGCTTGCAGAATCCATCGTCGATGCTTCGTATTATCTCTCGATCAAACCAAATATCGCGAAAGAAAAATATATATCGATCGAATCGCAACCATCCATAATTCTTGGTGAATGTGTGTGACTTCTTCATAACAGATCGTGCCTCGCTGCATGTGTCACCCACATTTCGGGGAAAGTGACCCACTAACTTAACGCGCTCTCCATCGCGAATGAACGTGATTACAGTCCAGTGTGAAAGAGAATACTCCCAGACCGCAAGACGAATCTCCACGGGAAGCTTGGGGAAGAGGGGAAAGCCTGGATCCATAATGATGGAGGAAATAATGTTAAAGAGAGCGTGGCAAGGCCAAAGACAAAGATGAGCTGCGATTCGTGGTGAAATTAAAGAAGCTGAAACTCAAGGTGAATAGTAGTACTCGGAATGTCGTCCGTGAGATTTATATTGCGTCAATTATCTGTAATTAAATGGCTCATCTATTTATAGAAGAAAGTTACGGATAAAGAAATATCTACTGTATAATAATGACAGGGCCCGTAGCACCAACAGGTCACCAATGCCAAGCTGTCCTGTTGGTCCGGTCAGGCTGAATTTGGCCCCCTCGAGACTCACAGGATCCCCACATGGTGTTCAATGTTGTGTACCATCGCTTCTTGTCTGGTAGCGTCGTCTGGAATACTCAAGTGGCCAGCACAGGCTTCCTATGCAGTTTCTCACCTTTATCTCATCTCGGTTGACTGAAACCGACATTAGGACCTGTCTTAGAACATGACCAAGTCCGGGACTACACCATATGAAAGGTATCTTAAATTCAAATCTCACCCAACCTATTGAATAGCGGTCACCTACCACATCAGACAAGAGCTTTGTCCAAAAGTATTGCAAGCTGTGCTTACAAACAGGTGTACTTATTTGCCTGGCTGTTCTTTCTTCTTTCAGTATGTTAAAGGCTATAATTACCACTTTGTTGGCACTTAAAATGGCTCATTCTGTTGGTATTACACTTCAACGCGCCCATTGGGTACCTACCGCGATATTTCCAGTTCAACTGTTGCACTTGCGTGGTGAAATATGTGTTGGTGATTAGAATGGCCATTATCTTCTCAACGTAGCCCAAAAGCGTGATGAGTCTATGGCCGTCGTAGTAAGCAGACTGAACTTGGTGTTGGAAAGTGCATGTAAGTTTCAATTTCTACGTTGTCTAACCATCAAGTTGATTTACATCCAAAGTTCAGAGAAGACATGATGATTGCAATTTAGTTCAAATGCGTGCGTGTTACAAAATAGTTCGAAATTGAGAACAGTAATAAAGCGATCACCATGTTGACCAGTTGCTGAGGTAGGTGAATTTCGGAACAGTCTCAGGCCGCTGCCGAAATCATGCCAACTTTGTACAGTGACCACGTTCTCTCCAAATGCATGGCGTCTACTCACGCGGCTTCACTCCCTGAGGAGTCGAAAATACATCTTCGCGGTCAACCGCCGCCTTGATGCCTTCCAGCCTGGAGAGATTGGCACCCCAATACTGTTTCTGGGGGCTACCCTTGATCCGCAGATTGGTGTAGCCGGCGTAAGACAAGAAGTTTTCCGGCTTGCTGTTCTGGTAAGTGAGAACTGCCTTTTCGACAAAGTCATGGATGGTGCTAGTCGTCTCGGAGCCACTTCTCGCGTACAGGGCGAAGAAATAGGCCAGATCGCGATGAGGATACGACGTGGCCCCGGCAGCCGCATCGTTAGCAGCGCCTCCGTACAGATCAACCAGGACGAACCAGGCGTCAGTGCCGGACTTGGCAGTCTGGAGATGCTCGAATACGGCGTCAATGGTCGAGTTACTCGGGAGGGTAGAGTAGGTAACGGCAGTATCCTTGGCGTAGAAGTAGGACTGGTCAGGAAATAAGTCTGAAATGCTCTTGAATGTGGCATCCATGTGTCCCATCCAGGTGAAGTCAGTTTTCAAAGTTCGGTTGGTAATACCGGGAATCTGGGAACCGAAGTCAACGCCTGCATAATCTGACTTTGACCCGAAGAAAACGCCGCTAATCAGAAGTGTATCTTTACTGATAACTGCGACAGATGACAATCGACGATCAAGATTTCGGTCGGTAGTGATACGGTGGTAGGCCTTGAAAGCAGCAGACAAGTTCGCCGAACTTGTGGAGGAGATAGTATAGGAGAAGTTAACGACATTATCTGGTTCAGGTTTAGTTTGGAAGTCGAAGCTAGTCACGATGCCAAAGCTCGCACCGGCACCTCGAATCGCCCAGAACAAGTCCGAGTGCTCTTTCTCAGAAGCATGCACGATAGTTCCATTCGCTAGAACGACCTCAGCGCCAGTCATAACATCAATCGAAGTGCCCAGGAGACGACTGTGAAGCCCAAGACCGCCGACGGTGGCATGGCCTCCGATTCCCACGGTGGGAGAAGAACCATGAGGCATAAATCTCTTTCCATTGGCATGGAGCTTCTCGCAAACGTCTTTTAGGCGGTTTCCGGCGCCGACCGTGGCAATGCCCGCCGAATTAACTTGAACCTGATTGAGATTCTTCACATCAATGATTACTGCGCCATCTCCCGCGCCAATACCTGTTCCAGTCAGTCTCGAACGACCATATGCCTCCCTAAGATACTCACATTTGTTTGTATAATCATGTCCACCACTTCTAGCCTGTACTCTGCGATCATGTTTGGAGGCACAGGTAACAATTTTGGCAACGTTGGAAGCCTCCGTTGGGTAGGTGATGGCAAAGGGAGCCCATGGAAAGTTGAGATTGTAAGGTCGAACATGGCTAGACTGAAAGCCATCATCGCTCGAGAACTTTACTTCAGCTATATTCCCACCGACAGCATTCAGCAAACAGTCCTTCAGGGCATCTACAGAGTTCGCCCTGGCAGAGTAGGAAACTCCGACTGCCAAGACTGAACTGGCATGGACAAGCCACAATAGTAGCCTCATGGGCAACTGAGCCTGTTTCGCCATTGATCGAATGCTGAAGAGTTGTTGACAAGGTTACTTGAGTGTGAGAAAGATCAGAGATGTTCGTTTGAAGGATGATGATATGATATCAGAAAAGATGGGGGACTCCCTTAAATACTTGTTCCGGAGAATACTATGCATCTTGAGAGCATCACGGACACCTCATGATAGACCGAACTACCGAACGTCTAATGGTATCGCAACGGAGCCCGCAGGGCCCGTCAGCCCTGAATCGCCAAGACCTCATGCATTTGTATCGCCAACGTTCAGCTGGTACTAGCTGGATTTGGCTTGTGACATGCCCAATGAGCAACCATTGCCGGAAGTTCGTCATCTGTATCTTTCCTCGTGACAATGTCCCTGCCATACCATCCCTTGACCCAGGTCACTCAAGGCATCTGGATTTCACATGCAATGACGATAGACAGTTGTTGGTGTCTGAACCCTCGTTTGGGTGGAGCCGAAAGGCCTTGGCAAACCTTGATTCGGCTCGTCCCGTATCAGTACCCTGTCGAAGATATTGCCATTCATAATAGTTCGTTCAACTATGCCGAAGCTAGGCAGACGGTTCATATTTGAACGATCCCACAGTTCATCATGGCTGATGTTATCATAGTAGTTTGGTCAGTGTTATCTCTTGACAATCAAAAATCCTACAATGACATTAAATGAAAAGTCTTACAAAAAAGTGATTTGATCGTTTTACACATCTATCAACTTTCATCTGTCCATACTTTCGTCCTCCTTTCTACTATGTGATTTCTAGGTTTGATCTAGTATCTGATTCATAGTCAATATCTTACCATCTAATAATTTCGCGTTAACCACTTTTTCAGATAGCAAGTTAGGTCCCCTAATATCTCTTAGCTTCTCTAGAATAAAGGTAAGATATAGTCCTTAAATACATAGCTCAAAAAGAATACATAAGACTAAAGCTCTAAATGTCCTATCGCCATAGTGGACCAGAGCAGTAGGGGCCTCTCGGTCAACTGCAGATGGAGCTTGTGTCACGCACTAGGTCAGGAGATTGGGAAATCCAAAGACGTGACTAGGTAACCGAAATTAACGACTAATTATAATCACTTAGTGACCATTATACTTATTCACAGTATCCTCAATCATTTCCCGGTATGGCCGAAGCCACGCAGAACAGCAATGTTAGCCATTGTATCTTACAAGTTTTTGATAGAGATTATGTGGCGAGCCGGGAGGTGACAATACTTTGCCACGCTAGGATGGAAGACCTTATAGGTATCTTCTCATGTCTTGCTATTATCTGAACGAGTTAGTGTCTCTTGCCCATTATCATTTCAGAGTAGCAAGACTATCTGCCTACATCCCGCTTCACGTGCCCTCCGCTCGTGTCACCTTCGGAGTCCGAGCCGGTGGGAAGACTGGATCTAGGAATTACTAATTTCACATTAGAGAGCGAGCTCGGACATTCTGCAATGCCGATCTCTTGCATGGCTTATTAAATCATGAATCGTCCCGGAGCCCGCGCGTTCCATTCCAGAGGTCCATCATAAAACTGATGCAAGCCATCCTTCCAGTCCACAGCCCTAATGATAGCCCATCCGCCGTGAAGATACCCTGCAAATGGCAATCAATTGGGCTCAGGCTCTGCAGCTTACGAGCTTGCTTCTAGCTGCTCACTCCTCTGGTAGGAAGACATCCCATTCTCAGCCTCGATTCATCATGGCTAAGAGCCCTTAGGCTACGGACTTTGCTCCGACAGATTAGCCTTACATAACACGTTACTCTTGTCTGATCGAGACACAATCACTCGGCAGTGGTTCCGAGCCTGGGACTTCGGGCGCAAGTATGGTCCTGTTGTAGTGACTGGCTCTGGCCTGGGATTCCTGGGTGCTGCACTGCTAGGTATGGCGCTTCCCCCGCAAACTTCTACCCTCCATCGGGTCAGAGAGTAACAGTTATTAGACGGCGTGGATAGTCCTAGCTTCTCTCTCAATCTCTCCGCTGCAGTCTCAATGGGACTAGTGGTCGTTTATACCGTCTTTTACGTCTTTCCAGTCAATGACAAGCTTCTCGCGGCCCACTCAAGTTTGATCAGCCAGAAGAAGTCTGATGACGCTTCTCAGACTTCAGATGAGATCCGAAATCTGGCTGCTACATGGAAAGGTGCTGATCTAAAACGAACCCTACTCTCGACGTTTGCGGCCGTAGCAGGCTTGATTGCTGCGTGTAAGCAGTAAACAGGTACAAGGGGCAGGAGATGCGTCGTGTATGGTACTGATGCATCGTGTATGGCACTGATGCATCGTGTATGGTACTGAACTGATAAGCCGTCCGTGACGGCAGCCCGCGACGTGGCTCTACCAATTAGATTTGAGATCAGGGACAAGAAACAAATGAATTTGATATCCCCAGTACCAGTTGTACACACTTCATAGCTACACAGTAATCAACAGCAATAGCTTTCCAACTCTAAATGAAGATTCTCTCTAACTTTCTATCCCCAGACGTCAACCAAGATTTCACTTTCCCGCCCCATGTGGATACTCTGGGGAATATCAAGAGATAGACAACTGGTTGAGCACACGTAGGCTCAGGCAACTAGTAAGTATACGCTTTACGTTCCTCGTAGTTGGATCCTCCATTAACACATTTACTGTTAAGGATCAGAATTTGCAAAAGCGATAATTTAGGTTTGATAGAACGACGTGTGAATTTTCTCCGTTCTTACGCCGGCAACACTTTCACATTCATGATTTGACGAAGGTGACAACATAATGTAGCACTCTGATACAACCAGTTCGCTTTCATCATACAAAAGCAATGACTTCTGTCGAGTGTTTGATAATTGTAACAGAAGAATATCCTTTACTCAATTGCTTACCCCAGAGTTTTCAGCTTCCGGAGAGCGCGGACGCCGGCATAAGTGGCGCCCACCGGATAGTTCCATGTCTGTGACCTCATGTACGGGCCGATAGGGTCCATCCGGATGAATGCGCATCCCTGTTTTTCGTTTGCAATGTCCGGACTAGCCAAATTTCGCAAAGTTACAATTGTCCGAAGTCCGAGGGCTCTGGGGTTGTTTATTTGCTGTGATTTCTTTGATCACATGGTCTCCTGATTATTGTCGCCTTGCGCAGTACTATCATGGCAGGTAAGAATGATTTGATGGCGTAGTTCTCTACTTCACTATACAATTTGCTCCCTTCCATCACCAACGGTTTCACTCAAACTAACGCTCTCCTTGGACAGGGATCATCGCGTCGAAGCTAGCCCTCGGGCAGGTGACCAAAACATTCAACAGCCCTATCGCCCGGACCTGGGCCCTTTGGTCCTCGTTTGGAGCCGCTCACCTCTACATAGCCGGGTGTGATGCCGTAGAGTTGCATGGGTTTGGTGTTGGGTCTGTCCGCATTCTCTCCATGTACGGCAACAAGGTCCACGAAACTTTGAAATATATCGACCCCGCCACCCACTCCTACGCATATTCGATTGCCGACTCACCTGGATTTCCAGCCACTGGCTCCCTCGGTTTCATCCAGTTACAAGAACTTACAAAGGGGCAAACGCAGATAACGTGGAGAGGTTTTGCAGATCGTGTTGTACCAGGAGCCGAGCAGTCTTTGAAGCTGCAGTTGGATGCACTATATAGTGATTCTATTGAGAAGGCCCGCAAAGCCTTGGAGCAGTAGTCCATTAGGTATAGCTTAGAGGTTCATTGACTTACTCTATCGTCTGGCCGTGGAGCCCTTGCAGTTTTATGTTGGTGATGTCCGTCTCAAATCGATGGCCAAGCAGGAAGCGAAACGACAAATTGCCCCAGCCTCTGAACAAGAGCAAGCTTGCTGTGGCTCGATCTTTGTTTTCTTTCGACTTAAACTAGTCTATTTAGGATCGAGTAAGATTTTCCTGATGTCGAAACTTCTCTAATTGTATAATGCCTCAGTGTGGTTCTTGTTCTACAGATTCTTTACGGATCTGCTTGGACTTTGATTGGTGAGTCTTGAATCTACCATCATCAGTGCATGAAAGCCGTGCGAGTTTCGAAATATTTAATTCTCACTGGTACGGCTTATCAACAATTCGGATCCAAATAATGACACCGGTTGCTATCACCACAAATCACCTTCGTTATCTCAGACAGGAAATTAAAGATATGGCAAGACAAAATACCGGCACTGATAAGGTATTCAACTTGTCTCGTCAGACGTGTTGACGACCATTTTTGTGGCGTTGAGCAAAAATGTGGAGGGGGGGTGGATAAATTACCGCCTAGTTGATCCCAACGTGTGGCGCGTCCAGACTTTAACTGGATTTTAATGGATGATGGCAATTCTACCTCAAGTTATGACTAAGAGAAGGGGTTCAAACTCAAGAGTGAGTCCGCCAAGCAGATGGGTCTTGAGGCTGATGCTTAATTATTTCATCTATAAGGTCTTGGTGCCGCCGCGAGCCTCAGGCGAGCAAGACACGTTGAGCTTATTTAGTGTAGAACAACCAATCAATTTATTCCAATTAAGTCTAGAAGGCATCCAAAACTCTAATTCTGTTATCAGCAATGTATTGCTCAGAGTCCTTTGCTTGAAACCCCACCGAGGTGATCACCTAAACATCCAAAGAAGAAGAGTTCACTCAAAATTCTCCGTGAAGCCATCATAACCATGTGCTTGGGCGTTCTCAGGCCATTTTCTCTGGGATTGTGCCCTTATAATAGCTCTCCAGTGCATCTTTCACGGTAAGTGGTTTGATATCGGGGAACAAGTCGTTCAAGCGTGGTCCATATCGATAGGTGTCTGCACGGCCCGTGCCCATGAACCATTGAATTGCCGAGGGTAGCCGCTCAGCCATTCTCTTTGTCCAATACTGATACAAAACGTCCCAGCCTTTCAGCTGCTTGAACCGCGTGATGTCTCCGGACTTCAAGTCTTCGAGGTCATTGTATTCCTTTTCAAACTTGGACCCTACAATGGTGTTAAAAAAAATAAGAAAGAGGTAAACACGATAAGTGCCTAGGGAGGTCAACGAACCAGAAGCCTTTTCTGCAAGGTCGATGAACTCATTCCAAGTAAGATGGTCTCCGAACATGTAGAGCCGGCTTGGCCAATGGGCGAGCGACAGGCTAGCCACCACAAAGCGGGCAACATCCAGAGTATGCGTGAAGGACACAGGGACATTTCCATCACCCGGGATAATGGCTTTCTTCTCGTCAAGATCCGCGATATACTTTCCAGGGGTTAAGAAGGTCTTCATTTTGGACGAAAAGTAGTAGTCCAGGAAGAAGCCGTTGTGGAATCGGGTCCACTCGAGAGTCTTTGTCGTCATTAGCAGTCTCTCAATGTCGAGCTTATAGCCGCCGGTATACAGAACGCTCGCCATCCTAATTGAAAGATTAACGAACAGCTCAACAAGACAGAAAGGTTCTCGACTTACTCGTCATCGTAAGGAACGTCAAAGGTGCTAGGAACAAATCTCTTGGTCACCGTTGAGGCTTCTGCCGCACGGATCAGGTTGTGCTGGGAAGGTGTGACCCCATCCGAGATGAAAACATTGGAAATGAGGGTGTGGACCCCCTCAGCCTCGAGAACCTTTGTGATATCCTCAATATCTAGGTAGTCGACAGTGACCATCTTGACTCCGAGCTCTTTAGAAAGGGCTGCGTCAGCCTTTCGGCTGAGGATCTTGACCGTGTAGAGGCTGGGAAACTTCTTGAGCTCGTGCACAATGGCAAGACCCATGCCCCTCGAGCCTCCAGCAACTGCGACGGTGGTAGACATTTCCGATCTGCCCAATGTTAGCTTGCAAATCTTTGGCCAAGAGAATATGGGGAAGCCCGTACATGGAACATACAAAGTGAATAGAGGTGTGATTTCTGGATGTAATTGAAGGAGGATGTCTTACTGATTGTTTTGAGATTAAAAGGTTCAAACCGTTCCAAGGAATTTTGATTTTTTTTATAGTTGGTAGAATCTGTGTTTCGGGCCGTCTTCATAATCCGGCATTGGTTGATTTTCCTGTCTGCTTCGGGCAAGCTGGACTTTTGAGGAAAGTCCGACTGAAAGTGAGGGCTCATGCAGGCAGGACATTGGGCACAGCACGGCCTCTCGTGATGTTGTACGTGTTTGGCTTCTGGTTGGTGGAGAATGGGGCCAACAACGCCAAGAAGTCATTTCACTTGTCGATCTTCATGGGAAGACCGTGGCTGGCGGCACAGAGCCAAGGGTACATCAGTATGTCGGTCAGTTACAGGGAAATAAGGTATCTTTGTGCTATGATCATTTTGTTCTTAAGCTATGTTTTCCCTGGCCTATGTAAACTCGATGCGGGTGGGATTTTACTACAATCCTTCGTAAGACTTCATTATGGTAATCGTTCGTTTGGCAAACAGCAATCGAGACCCAGTCAGACAAGGGGCGGTTAGGGCGGTATCCACTGCGGGGTAGCCAATTCAGATTCCGAGCAACACCATGTCCTACCCTAGAGTAAAGTACGTAGATCCAGATATTCGTAGATAACAATATGAAAGAAGTAATCAGAAAATTTTAGTCAACAGATATTTACTTATCGACTTATTTATTTATTTAATTTATAAAACAGAAATCAGTGGATTTCTCAAAAGAATGACTACTAGTTACGCGTTGAACTGAATATGCATTGGGAATGTTCTCCCATTAAAAACAAAAATAAGCTTGATGGCAGTCAGTGCCTGTAATTAGAAATCACACAATCACGTGATATAATTACTAAGCGAACTAGGCATTACGTCACCAGCTCGAGCGTCCTCCCCTTGAATGCCTTGTCGCGATTGATCAACGCGACCGCGACCGCGACAGCTTCATCAGCAGTAGCTGTATCCCTGCCTTCGCTATCGCGATTGAACAGCTTGACCGCGAAAGCCATTCCCGGCTGCTGCAGCTCTTCCCGTGATGTTCTGTCATGATAGAAAAGCCTGACAGCCACTGCTTCATCTACTCCTCGTGTTCTCCCACGACGGTAAAAAACACGTGATCGAGCGTGGTCCTGCTCAGACTATAATGCCGGATTCCTAGAGCTCTCTTCCCCAGCTCCATCCTCTCCATGATATCGGCTAGCGACCTCTGTAGTCCACTAGAATTCGAAAGCGGAATTTCAACACGCATCTGTCCCCGTCTCTGCACCCCCCGGTCCAGATTTCTGGCGCCCGGAAAGGTGCCCACCATCCACGCCCAGATGGCTGCCATATCCTCTGTCCTAGTGTGGGGAGCGTCGTCGTGTAGGATGTGAGCAACGTACCCGCCGCCGTACTTTTGCCTCAGCTCCTCTGCAGATCCTTGCGCGAGCATCTTCCGGGCGACGATGCCGATGTGACTCGCTAGAGCAGTGGCCTCCTCCATCGAGTGCGTCGTGAGGACGAGCGCTCTGCCTGGCGTGACTCCGGCCAGCACACGCCACATGAGGCGCATGCTCAGGGCGTCCATTCCCGAAGAAGGCTCGTCTAGAAGCAGCACGGAAGGGTTGCCCATGAGTGCGATGCCCAGGGAGAGCTTGCGTTTGTTCCCGCCTGACAGTTTGGCGGCGATGCGGTTGCTAAATTCAGACAAGCCAAGACCGCGCAGCAGCGTGTTAATGTTGTGCATTGGGTCTTGCAGCCCGCGGGCGTCGGCGTAGAAGCGGAGGTGCTCCATGACGGTCATGTTGTCGAGCGGATCAATCTGAGGACACACGCCGAGCTTGGATCTCGCTTCTTGACGATGCTTGAGGATGGATGAGCCGTCGACTATGATCTCGGTGTTTCGACTGCTGGGGGCCACATCACCTCTGATCATGGAGATGCAAGTCGTCTTGCCGGCACCGTTGGGACCCAAGAGGGCAAAGCAAGTGCTCTTTGGCACGGCAAGTGTCACATCGTCGACAGCAGTAAATTTTCCAAAGTCTTTTTGTAGATGGATAGCTTCGAGGCAGCTTGCGTCGGTTGACCAGTGCACATTGCTATGTGACGCATGAGAACTCAGCTCCATCGCTTCCTCATCACTTAGGCGCTCCGCCCTGGTCCGAAGATTGATTGGAAGCTGGCGGGTGTAGCCTGCCTCTTTCCATAACAGTAGACCAAATAGAGCTATTGATTGGAGGCAGAGATAGAGTATCGGTCCGCCATAGACACCGATACTTCCAGGGTAATTGGCCACATGGTCGTCTTGGCAGGAAATCCCAAACATGTTGAGGGAGACGTAAAGAGCTCGGGTCATGCTAAAGGCAGGAGTAAGTAATCCGAGGGAATAGAATATAATGTTCAACGTAGAATTAAGTGACGACGGGTCTGTATTGGCAGAAAAGGTAATCGTATTCGCCACAAAGAAGATGAAATATGCCGCTGCTTGCACTGCGGCGCCAATCGCGAAGGCGTCAAGTTGAGATGAGACGAACAGAGACAGGACGTAACACGATAAGGTCGAGGCAGCCCCGTACAGTAAGAAGACGACAAACAGATACTCAAGGTGATACCACACGCTCGTTGATGCACTCAAGACTATGACGGCGATGGTGCTGACTACTAGAGTGACGAAGAAGTCAAAGGTCAAGTAAGCAAGCCAGAGAGGGAGAGCTTGAATTCCGTTACTGTAGTGCATGGCTCGGATACCCTTAAGTCTTTCAAATACAGGATACAGGCCGAGTAAAGCGGGATATACTGCCATGGCCAAACCGCAGATGGTCGTCA